GGGGGGGGATGACATTATACTGAATCAGCACACTAAGGGAATCCTGTCTTTTACTCAGGAATGTAATTGCCCTGATACATTTAGGGGAGCAGTAGTTAGCCAGTCTAAGCTTGCATCAAAGGTCTGTGCTTGTGTGTTTGGATTTCATTTTCAATTTGGCTTGTGCTCGCTGTGACTTGATTCAGCAGTAACCGTTCAGCTGGGGAAGCACTGATGGTGGTAAATCATCTGAGAGAGGAGCAGTGCCAGATTCCATAAATCTCTCTGCCTGTAAATCGTGGGATGTGGAAACTGGAGCTCTACAGATGCACAAATAATGAACATCAAATCATGGTGCCTCTTTATGCAATAATATATGTCTTGTGTTTCTATCACCAGTTGGAAATCACGGTTTTGACAACACCCTACGTAGCATGCAGCCTGTGTTCGTGGCCCGTGGACCGGCCTTTCGCCAGAATTACATCAAGACCTCCATGCGATCCGTTGACCTCTACCCTCTCATGTGCCACATCCTGTCCACCCCCCCTCTACCAAACAACGGATCCCTCTTAAACGTGCAGGACCTGCTGTACACAGAGCCAACGGCAGTCACGCCCAGCCCCTCTCCCAGGGTCCACGAGCACTCCTACGCCCCTGTCGTGGGTTCTTTCCTCGGTGTGGCAATGGTGCTGGGCTTTCTGTTTTTCTACATCAGACAAGTGACCCTCAAACAGCTGCCCTCTCTAAAACACAGAAGCAGGGAGATGTCCCAGCCTTTACTGCAAGAAGACTTGCACCTGTAGCGGGAGGAAGAGAAAAGATGGCAGGTGTAAAAGAAGAGGAGGTGTAGCTCCCCAAAGGTAGTCCGCTCTCTCCAGAAGCATCCCCTAACGCCTCCCTTATACGACTAAATGCCAACGTGCTGCTCTTTTTATTAGTCGGAGATCAAGGGAATATAATCTAATCATATTTAGAGGTACATTTCCCTCGTTTGAGTGTAAGGGGAATGTCTGGGGTGTGCTTCTGGTGCAGGCTTAATCAAGATAATAAACCTTTACATGGGCTTTCTAGTGGCTTTGCTTTGATTGTGAATTTTTACCTTATATCATCTTGTCATTTTCATTGTCATTTAATAAGTAAAGATTCAAAGCTAGAGAGAAATTGTAGCCCGTGAGTCTGGCGAGTAAGAACGTTGTTGGCCAAAAGTGTGGCTTGGATAATGTTACGGTGTCAGTATGTTAAAACCTTGTCTGAAGGTAAAAGTGATTATAGCTGAGCGGCCACAGTGGAAAGCAGGGATAAAAAGCTTTCCATGGTAAAGAGGGGCAAGAAGCCTACCTGCCCAGACAATCTTTACTCTATGGCATTCCTATTGTTGCACTTTAGCACAAGGGAAACCCAAATAACTAGAAGGCAATCAGAGAGTACCAAACTCCTTAAGTAAATAGGTACAAAATAATAAGTGTATGCACCTCGTTATTCAAACTCTTGGGCAGTGTTAAAACATAACCTCCTTAACAAAGGCAGGGTTAAAAGGGATGATTTTCTCCTTTTGTAGGTGTCCTATACCGCTGATCCAAATGTACTTTGTTTGAAGCATACTGACACCTTTACTGCCCGATAGTAACATAGCAGGGACAGCAGTAGATTGGGTTTATTCAGCATTTTCAAATCCATGCGAAACGGATGTGATTTATGCCACCAATTGTTCAACTAAGGATCTAAGCACTGAATGAGAAGATACTTTCAGTGGATTGGCTGGGATCAGTGTTATTTTTTTAATGTTACTTGGAATCAGATGTTCCACTAGAGACTCACTCCATGTGCCAGGCTACTGATCATAAGTGTAGGACATCCCATGAGCCGATCACTTCACAAACTTGCTCTTTAGTAGTCCGTTGACTTTTGCCTTTTAACTTAACTGTGAACATCTGTCCGAGCTGTGTGTGCAATAGTCTTTTGTGTGAGTCTGGGGTTATTTTTGCGTATAGTTTGTGTTTGGAGGGCATTTTTCTGTGTAGATGACTGTGTACTTCCCTCCTGTTCATATGTCATAACCATGGCCATTTGTTGGTGAAATGTGAAGTGCAATTGCTATAGGTCAGTATTTCTTCATAGGGATTTTTAAGGGTTTTGTTGTTCCTAAATTGAGAAGACTATTTGGGCATGACTTGCAGGAACTGATTAGCATAGGAAAGAAATGAAAAAGTATGAAGGGACAGTGTTTGACGCTTTCCGAGTCATGTATAATTTGCACTTCTTGTTCGCAATTGCTATTTAAAATGACTAAGTGAGGTGCCTCTTGCCAAAAAGCTTTTATAATTAGCACAATTATAAGTAGAGTCCAAATCTGCAAATATATTCTAAAGTTCTAATATTTTTTCAGCATCTTTTAAGAAACAATAATTGTGCCCAAAACTTTACAGACATCACTGTGATATATACCTTTTACTAAATTTAAAATTCATAAATTGAAAGGATTGATATGGAATTTGTTAATTTTATGATAATTGTCTAGGTTGTCTGCTAATTTCTGCCTGACTTGTTGATGGAGAAATGAAACATATCCAGAATATAATTTGAATAGGTCATTTGAAATAGTTAGTAAATTATAAATATTTAATATGATTTACAAATTGCCATGTTGATGCAATGACAGTCTTCTGAAATTAAAAAGAACTTATGTGAATCTGAGCCATTTCTTTTTTTTGTATTCTTTGTCAGTGTACAGTTGAAGTACGATGCCTTTAACCCTTTTCTTAGTCCAGACCATTAATGGTTTCACTTTCCTCACATGGATGCTGATAAGAAAGATGACAAACATCAAGGCTGTCAAAATCTATGTCATCTAGCAGATAATTATTTGGTTTGGTTTTAAATACAGTGCAAGTAAGCATAAAAAAGAGAATAGAATTATAATATGTACTTGGGAGATGTTAATACATTGCCGAGTTCGTTAATGAACAATAATAATAGATTAATTTTGTTAGCGCTTTTACAGGTGCTCAAAGACGCTTTACAGATATAGTGAAAAGAGATGAAAGGAACAACAAATAAATATATAGTTAAAGTTAAAGTCAAATAATACAAAAACAATCACACATTAAAAGCCAGATTGAAGAGGTGAGTTTTTGTGAGTTTTTTGAAGGTGGTGAGGTCAGTGCAGTCTCTGATGGGTTGTGGGAGTGAGTGAACAACATCATTCTGAATTTATTCTGCAGTTACTTTAAGAGCTTCTTATTAATTGTATTTTTTTTTATATATTCACTGAGTTATTTAAAAGAAAAAATATGCACATATAAATAAAAAAAGCCTCATGACAAAAAAGCCCCCTTCCTTGCCTAAAAAATTATGTTATTATTATGTTAAACTAAGCTCTACAGTTGTTTCAAGGAAACTAGTCCTGAAAAAGATTTGATGGATTGCAGAGAAACCTGTGTTAAAAAAACTGGAAAATTCTAAATTGGAAAATAATAATATACTCCAACAATTAAAAAGTTGGAAAAATTAAAAGACAATAATTATACTGCATTCAAAAAGTATTGAATTTAAAAGGGTATTTCCCTAATATGTCCTTGAAAGCACAGAGGCCTCAGGTTTTGCATAAATCACTTGTTAACTTCCAGGATCAAAGGTCTGCTATGAGTTATCGCTGGAATTTGCCCAGACGCTCAGAGGCAGGCACACTGTGTGCCACCAGTTAGACCACTTCAGCACTCCTCCACGCTACAGCAGGTGTGCCAACACTAATCCAGCAAACATGGACAACATCTACGAAACTGTAGATGAGGGACGTATGCAGAAACAGCCCCGCGATGGAGCAAACAGCCCCGAACGAGAGCCCAAATATGAGATCCCCGCAGAGGTCATGGAGCCGCTGTACAGCGAGGTGCAGGTCCACGTCTCCACGAAGGGAGAGGGGCGCAGCTCCCCGGACTACATGGCCGTCAGAGACGAGGACAAACACAGCAGCTCGTCCTCTTCATCCAGCGATGATGAAGAAGAGGCGAAAGCAAAGGACGAGGTTAAAGAAGAAGTTGAAGCTGAGGAAGGACCAGAGGTGTGCGTAATGCCCGAGCCAGTTGTGTGTCCAATGCCGGAGCAAGAAGTTTGCGACCTGCCTGAGCCAGTTGTGTGTCCAATGCCGGAGCCAGAGGTGTGCGTAATGCCGGAGCCAGTTGTGTGTCCAATGCCGGAGCCAGAAGTCACGGTGCAGGTGGAGGAAGTGAACGGCGGATCCAGGCGCTCTTCGGCTTCCTCAGCATCCTCTGCCTCCCCCGGTGACCCGTGCGACGACCCGCCGATCCAGCCGCGGGTGGAGCACGAGGAGACCGCGGAGAATGGTAGATCGGACTCTCCCCCCAGCCCCGACAGCACCCCGGAGCCGTCTGTAGACTTAAGCGTGCAAACTCTGGAGAGTGTCAGTCTGGACGACAGCAGCGCAGCCCCGGAGGACCCCAGCCAGCCGGACATCTCTCTGTTCGTCAAGGTAAGACTCCTTTCAGGCCGACAGGTGGGCAGAGAGCCAGCCAGGCAGTATCTGATCCACTGCTCAGCATGAGGAATACAACGAAGTTGCTGCATTAAAGTTTGTTTTTTACTATCTTTAGTGATGGACTCAGCAATATGATTTACCAAAAGGATCCTTGAAGCCATCTCACCTTGTATTCTTCACTGTGCAGGACATTTTGCTTTTTATTAACCGCAAGAAAAACTCTTTGCTGTTAGTTTTAAACACAGTGGTGCAAGGAAGTAATAAGAACTTTTAGGTAAAAAAGAGCAATACCCCGGTTTGTAAATAGTGTATTACAAGTAAAAGATAAAAATATAAGCGTCAAAATATACACTTATTGCAGTATAGACTATTTTAAATGATATTATAGTACTTTAATTATAGCTGATTAATGTCTAATTAGGCTACATCAATGATAAGCTGCAGAAGGTGGAGCTAATTGAATTACTTTCTATGGTTGTGAATTTACACCCTGCATCAATAAATTCTTATCGTGCCCTACAATAAGGCATCATGAATGATCTGTCGTATTGCAGGGTATGAATTTAAATGACCCTTCGGTACACGTATCAGCCAATGTACATGCTGTGCATTTTGTAGACAGAACATGGATTATTGTGTTGCAATATCTGGCATGTAGATTGCATATCAATAGGTTACTGCATTTAATCCAAAAGGTGCAACATCGACCACTTTTTGCCACTTCTGAGCCATAAACATGACAAATCAACACATTAGCCTATGAGATCATTATATGATAAGTCTCATGTTAAATAATCTGAAGCAATTACTGATTATGTTTAAGGCATTTCACAATCAAATCTGTTTAATAAGTTTAATTTGCCAGGTACGTTTTAACATTCAAGAAATATGATTTCCATTTGCAGCTCATTTGAGCCTAAGAAATGTACACAGAGTGAAAATGTGACGCAGAAACATTTAAAACAGGTTCAAACTATAATGATGTTAGAAAGCGAGACACTAAATCACTCTATTTCTCCCATTCAAAATATATAAAACACATTTAAAAGATTCAAAATAGAAACCCTATTTTAAAGCCAATCTAAACATGGTTGAAGCCTATCTGTAGAGCGCATTTAAGTAGACTGAATTACACTTTTTGGAGTCAGTAATTAGAGGCAAATACTAGAACAACAGTTGTAGGAATAATAAATAAATAATAATAAACTGAAGTAGAATTATATATGACAAAGCGTAGTTATCAGTAAGAAATGTCACAGAAGCATGGATCTCTTAGTTTCAGTGGCTTTGTCAGTGAGTTTAATCTGGAGGCAGCCTGTTGTAATAATTAACCCGTTTACTGTACAGCCATAGAAACCAGGGGTGAACTCCATGCCTGAGTAAATCCCACTGTGTGTTTTCTGATAGAGCTGCTCTATGAGCTGTGCTATCAGCACATGCAGGGGTCACTTTGCTGATTGAGCAACAGAGATTGAGTCAGTGGGCGGGGCTCAAGAATCTCTGTTTTAGCTCAAAAAGAGGCCTTGTAACGAGGAAGGACAGCAGTGGTTTGTGTTAAATCCGAAAAGTGTCTTTGTATTGTAACTAGAGATGTCCCGATCAGATCACGTGATCGGGGATCGGAGCCGATCACGTGATTTTCAAAAGATCGGAATCGGGAGAAAAAAATCGGGGATCGGGATTAATTTAAAAAAAAAAAAAGAAATTTTTATAAATACTTTTTTAAAATGTTGTATTCAATGTTACAAAACAAAAATGACCATGTTCAAGTCTTAAAGTCATCCTGAGGCCTTAGTTTTGGTTTCAAATTACACAACATCATGTATGTGTTGCTTCTTTGGGGCTTGTTTTCATAGACCTGGTTGCTTATTTCTCTCAAATCTGGCAACAGAGTAGGCAGGGCGCAGTGTCTAATTGTAGCAGTAAGCTAACGAGTACTGATAAGCTTTATTTTGTTTTGATCCAATGCTGCACAACTGAACTGATCCAATGCTGCTGTGAAAAAAAGAAGCTATATCCATGTTGGATAGAATATCCAATTTAAATAAAAAAATAACCTTAAGGGACAACTTGAATGCTTTTTTTTTCTCTTAATGCATTGCATAAAGATCGGATCGGGAAAAATCGGTATCGGCAAATTGTCAAAATCAAATGATCGGAATCGGATCGGGAGCAAAAAAAGGTGATCGGGACATCCCTAATTGTAACAGCAAAAGCCATTGTCAGTTGCAATCAACACAGATGGCTTGCAAACAAACAAGTAATTGCTACAATCTGACCTGAATGAGGATTTCTTGATCCTAACTTTCTACCATACATGTGACAGGGACTGTGGCATACTCCAGAAACAGTTTAAGCTTAGCTAAATCCCACATTTCATGAACATATCAAAATAACATATTGAATGTCCATTGTTTTGAATTTAACAAGAAAACATTCCCGTAAAAGAGGTTTTTATGTTATTTAGCCATAAAGAAACCTTCTGTCCTTTTTTGCCGATTTGTTCAGAAACAACATCTGAGAAATTGTGATTAGACATACTATCTTTTCACAATTATAATAAGCAACGACCATAGTTCTCCAGGGTTGTGACAACATATTTGTCTCTTTTCCGCATACCACTCAATCCTCCATTTCCCAACTCTTTAATGTTCAACAACAATCGCCATAAACCCAACTAAGCAGCGCTATAAAAATAGAGAGGGGGGTAAGGAGATTGGCTGTCCAAGTTAAAAGCCCTAATGGCTTCTCCTCTGCTGTCAGTGATAAAGCTGATTACCGCAGAACAGGCTATCACTAATATAACTAAGCGTGTTTTTTAGATTATCATACTGTATGATAACAAGCTGTACAAATGCTTAAGTAGTTACTGGCAAAATGTGGATGGACATATAATCCTGTTCAAATGATTTTTTGTCACTGATTGTCTATCGAGACAATGCTTATATTGACAAGTATGTTGTCACATTTGGCAAGTGTGTTGACTCTCCCCTCCACCTTGGGTCCAGACAGATACAAAAGGTATGTTACTGTTTGATGTACAAGTGAATGATTAGCACCAATAACTTAAGCCAGGGATTGTACCTTTTGTCTCCAAAAGACACAAAAACCAAGGCCATATCTTCTAAACCCTTAATGGTTTTATGATCATCCACTATTTAGACATCCTTAAAAATGAATAGTTAAGACATATTGGGACATATGCTTGTCTGATGTTTTGCAATGAGTTAGGTGAGAAAATGGATACCATTGAATTCAGAGTTACAGCCAATAGTCTTAGCTTAGCATGGAAAACACAAAGAGGGGAAAACTGCTGGCTTGCTGGTCCAAAGTTCCAAGAAATCCAATACCCCTCTCGTCTCAAGTTATCTTATTAACAGATATCCATGATTTGTTAAACCAAACTTTAAAATAAATCTGTGAGGGGAAGGCTAAGCTAAGTGGCTGATGGTAGTATTCTTATGTACCGAACAGATATGAGAGTGCTAACAATGTTCTCGTCACACTATCGGCAAGAGAGCAAAATTAGAGATCTTAATGAAAAGGTTCAACCATTCCATAAATATTTACAAGATGTAATTTAAGAGAAAAACGTTTTTCAATAAAAGAAAAAAACCCTACAATGACAAAACTGATAAAGTCAGTTTAGCTCTTTATCATGTGTTGTTTTCATCATTAGGGGGCTGTCAAGAATATGGAAACATTGATTAAGGCCTATACAAATAAAACCTAAATTAACACATTGTGAAAGTACTCAATGTTTTCCCTCAAACATATAATGAACTCTTCCACAGTAGCACAGTAATTGGCTCTTGCTGCATGTTGGCATGTCAGCCACGAGAGGGGGCTGCTATAAATAGAAACTGTTTAGTTTAAATTAGTTCTAGCTTCTCTGTTTTTCTGCTTTTATCTGACTTATAAATTCATAGGCTAAGCCACTCATTTTCTCCAGTGTGTGCTGATGAAGATGTTTTTAGTCAGACCTGCTTATATTTTGGTTGCCCTACTTAGGTTCTCTCTGTAAATGAACGCCAATTCTTGCCATAAAACCAAATCCAAGCATCAATAATTCACAGAGGAATCGTCTCCTGCTGGTGATCAAATATAACCTGCCTCATTCTGCCAGAGCTGGAACATGTGAACACTAATTAAATATTTATGCTGCTTCTCACTCAAAAACTGACAAAAACTGTCAAAAATAGTCATACCACTTTTTTTGCAGGTTATATTCGATATTTGGGACTATACTTGGAACGTATTTTTTTTGCTGATTGCAAAATGGATGGTAAAGTCAACCTGATCTGAAACCAAAGAACAAATAGAAAATTAAGAAAGTGAGTTGGAATATTGAAGAGAGATGACACAGATAAGAAAGGAGGTGATGTTAGTCCTGTTTTTTTACAGGGGAGTTTGGTTGCAGTGGTAGAAAGAGAGGGATGGGGCTCCACCCCCTGGTTATAGACTGACACCTGTTTTCCACTCTTGTGTCAGTGAGAGCTGCTCTGCGCTCCATCTGTGTCTAAATCAGAGTCAGGGCTCCACCTGTCACCTGGACTGGACACCAGCAAGGGAGAAGAAAGCCATTACAAGGACCAAAGGGGGTGGAGATCTCAAATCAAGGCCTGAAAACCAAAACGTTTTTAAGGTTTAAGGGATCGCTGTCACCGCAGAGAGGATAGCTGGTTTCTTTTTCAATCATCTCTCTGGAGGATGTAGACCTCAGAGCATAAGCAAAGGACTTTAGTTTTAAAAAAAGAATCAAGGTGATAGCCAGAAGCAGGCATCATGTCCACTGACAGCCAAGACAGAGACCCTGATATTGAGCTTTTTGTCAAGGTAAGACAGAGTCAGAATATATGCTTAAAGTATTGTCTTAACTTAATCTTTGCTGGAAGATAGAAGCAGCATATGTGCAGGATATTGTGTTGTGGAAAGCTTGTGTAACTCAATAGTAGAGGTAGAGTTACATACGCACTGGCACACTGGTGACCCAGGATTGTTGTGACAGTGATACGGAGGCTGCTAGTGGATGGTAGGAATCTAGCATTGGGGTACTGTTGCAGTACTTCATATTGCTCCACATTAAAGCCTTGTTTAAAGAAAGGACTGCATTAGCTAATTCTCTCCAGCACAATCCATTAAATGAGCCACTCTGCTCTTTTGTATGCAAGTAGCGCTGACATTTATCCCAATCAATAGATGTCCCAGATTATCTCCTGAAAGAGAGCAAACAAGCTTCAGTAGATACAGCTGTGTTGTTTTGCGCTACACAAATGGCTACACTTGAGGCCCTGTGGGAAATGTTAGAGGCGGATGAATATACCTGAGGCAGGTGAGGTGGAGGCTCATTGTGGATGTGCTGCCTGGATGCACTGACCCAATTAGCTGGAGTGGAGGCTGACTTCAGACACACCAACTCCCTGGAAACTGGCTTGGTAACATAAAGTTCAAGGCTTGTCGGCTTGCATTGCCCTCCTGATCTTTGACATGTTCCTGTTGTCTAAGTATGACATACATCGTTCTAAAGAGCAACATATTGTAGCTAGACTTACATTAAGCTAGGTATTTTAAGATGTCACTCACATGTTTAATGGTGTTCCTCAATAAACCAAAGTCACTATTGCCTTCTATTGAGGTTTTCTTAAAGGGAAAGTTCCAATCCATAGTCAGATACTAAGTAATACCTATAGTAGATGATGGTTGGCATGCCCCCAGTTTGGAAATCGGGTACGAAAGCTAATAAATGTACTATATTTCACATATTTTTACCATTTTAGATTGCCGTTGGACATTCATTTCTTATGGGGAACTGAAGCCGTTATCTCTCGTCAACAAAAAAACATACATTTTACCTCAATTGTTGGTATTAATGGGTGACTTTAGGGAACTGTAACTTAATAACAACAACATAAGACAAACTAACTAACCAATTGAGGAAACGGTAAATCATCAACAAAATGTGTCATGCATGCTAAAATCATAGTTGTGGTCAATGGTGTCTGGTGGCTTTGAAGATTGTAGAAAACATCTTCACTATAACTTTGCACTATATTTAGAACAATTTTACCACTTACCTTGCTGTCAGAAAGAGCTGTTTGAGAGCAAGGCTAAGTGGTAAAAATATTCGAATTATTGCACTGTTTTGTAAAGCACTTTGAATTGTCACGTACAGAAAATTGCTATATAAATAAACTTGCCTTGCCTTGCCTTACACTAACACTGGAGATTATCTATAATGTATTTTATGGGATTTTAAGGATGTGTCGCTGTTACAGCCATACATTGCTTCATCATAGACTACCATCAACTGTAGGTGATACAGGATAAGGACCTTGTTTTATACGGAGTGGTTTCCATATTGCTAATATTAGCCCTAATATGAGTTATTTCCATGACGCTGCCTAAGGAGATGTACCTGATGGACATATAACTATCTTACGTGGCTGCACTTCCTTTACTTATATTTTGAAATGGCTTAATACTTATTGGTTCAATAGAATGAACAAAGTGTTTAACAGCCTTTAAAAAGTGCTTTACAGACAGAAAAGCACACTGGAGATACAAGATGCAACATTTAATCTACTACAATTATTTCTCTAATCCTAGATATTTGATCTTTCTCTTAGAAATGTAATGTGTTTGAACAGGAGAATTGAATTAAATTGCAATATCAACTCATCACATAAACAAGATAACATGAAGACATGAGCATGTGCTTCCTCAACCAAGCCCAGGTAATGCTACAGTATAATTAATGCTCAATAAAAATGAGTGTTTAGACTAACAAAGAACAGCAAAGCCCAGTTATAGTAAAGTATACATGTGTGCTGGATCCCCCCCCCCCTGCATTGTTAGATCTCTCAGCGTTCCTTGCGCCCACAGGCCTAGTTGTGTGTGACAGCTTTTGTCCTCCGTTTTCTAGATGTCGATTGACTATTATCAGCGGCTGTGTATTATGTTACCTCCGTGCTGCTGAGCCTAGCCACAACAATGCACGGACAGAAGCATCACATGCGCTCAGGCAGCATGACAGCACGTGCATCAATGGCTGGAGTACATACAGTTGGCTCAGCTACTTTTAGACCGACAGCTCTGTTTCTGGTCTTTGCTAGGAGCGGTGTTACTGTCAGGCACATGAACCGAAAGGCAATATGTTTTCCACGTAGGTGTAGAATAGGTATTTGTGAAGTGACTCATGGTCATCCAAATGATTTATTTTTAATTATAATGATAGTGGTGTTAAAGACTTAAAGGGCCCATGTCATGCTTTTTCGGTTGTTACCCGTCCCCTTTTGTGTTATGAAGGTTTTTCTGCATGTAAACGGTCTGCAGAGTCAAAAACCCTCAAAGTACACCCTGTAGCGAGTAAAACTCTAACACAGAAAAGACCTGTCTATGCTGCCCCAGAACGCCTCGTTGGAGATTTCTCTTTTTCTTCCTGGGTGCAGTGACGTGCCCATACCCAAATGGACCCATTGGTCCAAATGGACCAATCCGTGGAGCCGTTACGTTACGTCCGCGGAGCCGTTACGTGGACCAATCCACGGACTTCCTCACACACACACTCTAAATCCTTTCTCAGCTACAGCTTCGCCGATTTCTCCTCCCTGAGACGGCGGGACGCTGTGAGTCGGTGTGTGAGCACACAAACTCCCAGCCAGGCTGCGGGTGTGTGTTCGGGCTGGTTTCAGGCTGATAATAATAAAAAACCATAATAACAAAATTATAATAACTTATTATAATATATATAATAATAATAAAACACATTTTAAACACCTTGAATTTCAGGGGGGCGCAGCGCCCCGCCAAGACAATGGTAGGGGAAACACTGCTTTTATATATTGTTATAAGTCCAAACACAGAAGAGAAAACAATTGAATTTTTTCTCTCTCAATTGCTACTCTGAGCTTCTGCAAGCCGTCTCAGAAAATGTGTACATAATGAAATCAATTCATTGCTTTCTAAATGCTTTGGAGTAGAGTACCCAAATCACCAAAATATAATAAATAGTCTCCCCTGTCAAATCTCTGCTGACCTTGAGGTCAGTGCACTTCTTTTTCTGTGTTGTGTTTCTGTGACTGCAGGCCTGCAGGTCTGACCCTGCCCTCTGTGCCCCAGCGGCCAGTGAACCAGGGGATGAAAGCACCGTGTATAATTCAGCCGGGCCAGTGGGTCAGGTGTCACTCCTGAGGCTCTGCTGTATATCCATACATGCCGACACATGATCTCACTGCAGGTCCACAAGTATACGATGGAGGGGATGTGATAATATCACAAGTGTTAGAACAAGGAGGAAAACTTTGACTCTTATTTGGTTATTTGTATGCTTTATTTGTCGTATGAAACACCATTAAGACATTTAAAACTGAAAACAAATTAGACAATTCAAAGCTTTAACAGGAAGGCAAGATTATGCTGCCATTTTAAATGCCCACATTTATATAGACACCATTTAGTACAGGTATAATATATAACTGACCCAGAGTGTACTTGGTTGGACTTCTCCCTATCGTAAATTTGAATCAGGGATTTCAGGGTGACGTATTAATGCGTGTTCACATAGTGTTTACATTTATACAGCTTATTAAAACCTTTCTATTCAAACAAAAGTAAAAGATAACAGTCAGCTTAATCCAATATGTATTTTATTGATAGTAGCAAGGTTTGTTTTCAGAGAGACAACCTTGTGACCAAGGATTTTCCCAACTGTAAAAACATGGTAAAGGAGATAGGGGGGTTAGCAGTTAAGTGGAGAGTTTTTGAAGTGGGGTTGAATGAGGTACTTGTTAACAGTCAGTGAATTACCTACACTAGATTGTGCCTGCCCACTTACAGGTTGGAGATGCATTTGGATGTACCAGTCTAGGAAATGTAATGCTTGGTACCAAAACATATTATAGCCATCTAAAGAAAAGCCTACCACTAGTGAACTGTCAACAGGGGGGGCGCCTCGCTGCGGGGAAACGCTGGACCTCTGTCGCCTGTCAGCGCAACATCGATGATGCCGTTTAAAAACATAACAAATGAAGGGCGGGGCCGGCCGTCAGTGAACCGAGCCGGCCGTCAACGGCCCTTGACGACCGGCCATTCTCCAGATTCTACAGATGGCCAGTCCGCCCCTGGTTGGAGGTGAAGGGAATGAGCACTTTTACAGCCTTTTTGGCGAGGTGGGGGAACTCGGTCTCAACAGACAGCCAAAAGTGTGCAAGTGACACACGTTTTCTGCCAGACGCTGTCTCCTCTCTCACTTTATGTAATTTAACAAAAAATGTATCCATGTTGCTGCTCGCATAAAGTTAGCTGAAGTTAACTCGCTAGATTTCATTGTTCCTCGTTACCTCCTCTGAAGCTCTATGGCGCCCCCCGGGGAGGCGCGCCTCACACTTTGAAAACCGCTGGTATATAGCATTGATAGTTGCCCACCAGAAAGGGATGTCTGAAAGCTAGATTAATGGGTTAAAAAATTATAAATATAATGTTATATACGTGGATTATTTAAAGATTGCTAAAATACGTTTGGTAGCTGTACCATCTGGCTGTCATCTAATGTCAAATACATTGCCAAGGGATCAGTCCTCAGGATACCGCATTGAAAAAAAAATACTGACTTTTCTTTAACAACTGTAGTCCATCCATTGTACATGCGATTTGCCTGTGTACATTATATTTAAACTCTGACTTTTTTTCTATAATTTAGGCCGGAAATGATGGAGAAAGCATCGGCAACTGTCCCTTCTCTCAGCGCCTCTTCATGATCCTCTGGCTCAAAGGAGTCGTGTTCAACGTCACCACTGTTGACCTCAAAAGGTGAGGAAACGTAAAATGCTAGCTTCCAACGCACAAACACATCTGCGCCATTCCTCACGACACACCGCTATCTTTATGTCCTCTGCAGAAAGCCAGCAGATTTGCACAACCTGGCCCCGGGGACGCACCCTCCTTTCCTGACCTTCAACGGAGAAGTCAAGACCGATATCAACAAGATCGAGGAGTTTCTGGAGGAAACGCTCGGTCCTCCAAAGTAATTCAACTGGAAGGTTTTACAACGCATGGTTTACAGTATCGCTGACTGCACACATGCTGCTTTTGGCTAGATTTACTTCACTTCAGCGACACTGCTGAAAGGGCAGGAAACATTTTAGTCCAATAAAAGCGAATACGTGCTGTATTTGATGAAGGTTGATGTTAACTGATACATCTGTTTGTTGTTTATGGCTGCTATAAATCTTTTTGTGAATAAGTGTATATATATATATGTATATGTCTCAGGCACACAGACAATATGGGCTAAATTGAGCCATAGCTTTTGTGTAATTCTGGACAAATCAAGACAGGTTTACTGTTTTGTGTTATTGTCACTACTAAGAAGAAACCAGAGCCTGTGTGTGAGCAGTTGCATAGAAAAATGTCAGTTTAACTTAATCTTTCTTTTATTGCCTGTAAAGTTTTTTGCATTATAAATGGACCTTAGTGTGGGAGAGCTTTAAGAGGCGGGCGGCCAACTCGGTGTGTGAGCGTGTAACATGTTTTTAGTCAGAGCTGAGCGCCAGTCCAGGTGTTAATGCTATCCAGATGGTTAGGTCTGCCTGCGTCTCTGCCTGCGTCTCTGACTGCGTCTCCTACCTCTGTCCCCCCGTCTGCTCAGGTATCCCAAACTGGCAGCCAGGCAGAGAGAGTCCAACACAGCTGGAAATGACATCTTCGCCAAGTTCTCAGCCTTCATCAAGAACACCAAACCAGAGGCCAACGCAGGTGGGCTGCTCATTTTGTGCCTTTTACACTCACAGACGCACACACAAAGATTACAATACTCTATTCCTCCACTAGGTAGAAGCAGAGTCCAGTGTTTGAGGCTTTTAAATGTTCTGCTGTGCTGCCACCTAGTGAGGTTAACACCACACACTTTCACCTTGTACTTATGCATACAGTATGTGCGTTTCTGTATGTTTAGTTCTAGAGAAAGGTTTGAACAGGGCCCTGAAGAAGCTGGATGACTACCTGAACAGCACCCTGCCAGATGAGATCGATGCAGACAGCATGGAGGAGGAGAAAGGCTCCAACAGAGGCTTCCTCGACGGAAATGAGCTCACTCTCGCAGACTGCAACCTGCTGCCTAAACTGCACATAGTCAAGGTAAAGAGGGGAAATATTAATGTTAGTGGTTCATTCAAAAACACATTAGGAGTACTTGATATGTTATCTTTGAGGTATTCATGTGTGAGGCCTTTTTTCCAGTGTTTTTTCAGTTTTCAATGCAAATACAATTTAGTATTTAAACGGAGCAAAAAGGACAAGATAACACATAATAATAAGAGGAATTAAACAAAAAAAAAATGTATAAGAATAATATTCAAATGGTGTAATTAAGGCATTTTTAAGATATTTGTAGTATAAATTGTATTTTTGGGTAAATTTGAAAAAAAAAGAGAAATACTTTCGTGTTTTCAGCCATACAGGAAAAAAACATAATGTGATTACTCAGAAGTAATGAGTACACTGACAAGATATAAGTATTGACCTGTTGCTCAACATGTTGCTCAGTCCAAACCAAAATAACTCAACAACTTGGAGATGGATTTTCATGAAATATGGTACAGGGGATCCCATGAGTTTATCGCCACCTACAGGTATAGATAACTCTTCAACTAATAACATTCCAATCAGCCACGGCTGTGTTTAAGGCTCATTGGCAAGCGTCAGCATGTAGAGACCCTAAAAAAGCATCGTCTCATGTTTTTTCTGAAAAGGTCCTTATTATGTTACTAGTGCCTAATTAGTTGAACATATTCAGCACAGAAAACACCCAAGCATTTGTTGAATTTGTCTCGCATATATTTAGTAGAAAAGCAGGGTACGCTACTAACAATTAGAAATTCTTAAAATACCTCTTTACTTGAACTGCATACAAAAATTGATGGTACAGTTAAAATACTTCCCAAGGATGGATTTTAAATGTGCTAAAATAAATCAAGTTTGTCTTCACTTCTCAAAGTTACAGCTTTGCTTTCTCTCACAGGTTGTCGCTAAGAAGTACCGCAACTACGACATCCCCTCAGAAATGAAGGGGGTTTGGCGGTACTTGAAGAACGCTTCCACACGTGACGAGTTCACCAACACCTGTGCTGCTAACTCAGAGATCGAGACCGCCTACAAAGACGTGGCGAGGAGACTGGCCAAGTAATTCGCCAAGCAACCCCGAGCTCAGACAAAATAAACTAGTAACACAACACAAAAAACCCCAATCACTTTTCAACATAAATGTGACTGTCCTTTGAGTCTTGTTCAGTGGTATTTTCAGGTCACATACCTTATCTGTCTGTCATAGTCAGATATTGCAGGGTGGCTTACAGGCCCACTGCTTTAGTTATGTGGTGTTGCAATTGCAAAAACAGACATGGCAAAAGAGAAGTGGAGCGGACGGCAAATCAAGCACATTTAACTTCAAACCACGTTCAAATTTTGCAGCTATGAAACTTTTGACATAACACTTTTCAAACATGATTGTGTCCCGTCCTGTATTTATTTCTCATAACACAAAGCTCTCTTTCATACAAACTCCAGCGGTCCGCACGGCCAAACATTTTACTAGTTGCTGATGTCAGGGTCGTTCACTTTATTTATTCCTAAACCCACAGAAGTCTAGTCTGACTCCAGTGTTTATTATCAAGCTTCTGGCTCCAGGGGAGACACCTTGATTCATCTATGACTGATGATTGGCGCTATAAATGTTTTGCTTAATATGACTGTTGCGATCTGCAGATTTATTTTGATTGTCGGTGTTGCTGTTTGTTTACTCGAGCTTGTACGTATCTTGAAGATTCACTCCTGCTTTTGAACGATTGATTTTAAGAAAATTTGATTCAAACCAATTATTTGACATGCTTGATGATGTTAGTTGCAAAAATATTTAGCTGACATTGATAACTCAGTACAAAGCTCGTTTATGATTTGTTTGCATGCATGAATCTCATTTAAAATGTCATATTTAAAAGCTGCTTTCCAAGATGTGAAAAATCCACTACTATGTGCCTTTATTTGGAAGTATTCAAAATCCATGCCAATGTCACTGATGGACTCAAAACATGTATTGCAGCCAGAGAGGAGACATTTGTTCTGCCTCTAGCTATGTTCAGTGTAGGTATTGATTTTGTCTTCAGTTACACATGATATTATGAATGGAGAGTATTTATTTAGCAGCCCCAATCAGGCCTGATTAGGTAGAGCCATTAAGGCTTTGATGGAAAGCGTCTTCCAGGCCAGGTCCGCGATGGTCAGAAGAAGCCTGCCCTCCAGCCCTTCATCAAAGACACATTTCCTCTGCTTAGCCCATCATCATCCACAGGTTAAAGTTCAAATGTTTCATTGTCCAAGCCGAGAGACGATGGAAATTTGTCTTGGGGGGCTTATCGTCTTTGGCTTGATGTCAGGCTGCAACTATAGCGAGACTTCCTTGCAGAACCATAAGGCTCTTGTGTGGTTTGGACAAACATATGATATGAAATTGGAGCATGATGACTGAAAGCCTTGCTCATTGCGAAGCTCTACAAATAAAATAATATTTTCACAGATCTGCTTCTGCCTTTTCTTTTCTTTTCCAGCGAGGTGATCAATCAACACTGATACTTCGGAGGGTTGTCATGAAGGGAGAGGTGTTTGGTGTGTGTCTGTGATAGCAAAGGTGCCGCTAGAGCAGGGATCCACGTTCTGAAAAGGGTTAAGTGTGCCTGACTGAGTTGATCAAATTCAGTGGTCCAGGTCTTTTTCTCCATCCATGAGAGAGAGAAAGAAGGAGAGAGAGTGATGACCGTTGACAGGCTTAAATAGAGGCTTCCATGCCAGGGATCAAACGCCATCCCTCTTCTCCACTCTCTCATTAAGATGGAAAACCCGAGCGCCGCCATCCGATCCGTCTCCATTTTTCCTCAAAGGAGTCTAACTTGAAAGATCTGCGCCTGTCGGATTTACAATGGTGGGCGAGTGGTGTTTACTGAGACTCGACCGTGCCAGAAACAACAGTCAAAGAAAATAAATGGAGCCTGCCTAGTGTTTCCACAGGAGTAAGGAAATATGGAGCGAGACTTGTGCCTTGCTGTTTGGTAATTAGTACCTAAACATCCCTGTCCTTGGATCCCATCGCTCACGTCCAACATTTCTGCAAGCTGGATAATATACAGTGGAGCATTAACGTCAAACACGTCTGGTCATGGGGTCTGGCACGCCACATTAATCTGTTTCTACACTCCCAGTGGATCTAACAGTCGCTGGCCTTGGCCACCTTAGCACGGGGAGTCCACATAGGCGGACAGGGACTCGCACACGGCGCACTTTTATAGCCAGGTTTACTAAACCTTTTCAGCTCAGGCATAAATTGTCTAAATTGAGCCCCGCTCTGAGACCTGAGCTGATTAAAACAAACTGGCGTGTTTGACGTGTGAGGACCCACCAGAAACAGACCTGTGATCCAATTAAGGGCCATAGTTTAAGAAATACTGCACACATACAGACCTCAGTGGTGCTTACCATAGATATTGTACCCAGGAGACGGACCCATATGTTTCAGTCTGAGGCGAAGTTTTCTTTGACCTCATACTGTAGAAACCCTATATTATCCATGTACTTTAACGGCAGGAGCAGCAGAAAGGGCTTTGCTTGTTGGTTCATCTCGTACAATATCCTCGCTGCTCTTTCAGTTTGGTCACCGTCATTAGTTTGACGTGAAACAACATCTAAATGTTATTTATTGGCTACAATTCTCAAAATGAATGCTTTTATATTTTTCTTGTGTCATACAAAGCGATAAAAGGACATGTCAAATACTTGAATGGAATGATAACAAGGCTGTTTCCATTAGTGAAAAAATAACACTCATATTCGCTACTTAATCCAGATCATCTTTAGATACTGGGCTTGTCTTTGATCCATCTAACACTTATTTATCACATTTTAGAAACATTTGGCTTGTATTTCCTTTCATAATGGCAAGGAATTGACAACTGCCTCCTTAAATAGAGTGATAATAAGTGAGAAGTACAAATAGTTTGAGCAGAAGTTTACCCTCCTTCTCCAATGACAAACCCCTATATTGAGAAATTCTATGTGACATCAGCATCAACCTATTGAGAAGGTGGCAGCTGAGAACCTGCATGCCTGAGAAGGAAGTGTCTAATCACAGCACGCCCGGCAAACGACAGAAACCATGTCATAACAGTAGATCATGTTTAAAGAGCTGCGGAAGACGAGTCCTCATCCCCTTCCACTCGGAGACAGAGAGCGATCTAAGAGAGTATCAAATTCTCCGCAGGTCCCCCAGCCCTCCTCCGCTCGCCTGCCCTCGGAGGCTTGAGTGACTTGTGGTGAGTCTTGATGGGGATTATTGATCTGCCTGGCGCGCGCCTGCGGTTTCGGCGCAAGACTGACGACCTCACCAGAGAGAGTTCTTGGCAAACGTCGGCCCCTGTCTAAGATCAGCGGTAGAGCCTTGTAGAGGCATGGACAGGTCTGTCCTGGCCTGAAATTTGGGCTTTATGAGCTCGGAGCCAGGTGACCAAGACATTTTTCTGTGTATTTAAATAATCAGGCCCGAATTTCAGAAGAAGATAACAACAAACATATCTGATTGGACAGCAGTAGTTGGAATGGGTAACCATGTCTGCAGACAGCAAAGCCCCGAGGTATTTATGCTCTCCGTTAGACTTACTGGTTAGAGTTTCTGTTCCAGTCGTGGACCACATTAAATAATCCATGGTCACTGGAGAAGGATGTGGACACTGTGCTAATTATGTGAGATGATGATGTCAGGTATTGATACCTACTGTACTAGTGAGCCAGAATATTTCCCACTATGCCGTGTTCCAATGTATATAACCGCGCTGTGGCGACCACACTCGCTATACGACCACACTCGCTATACGACCACACTCACATCCACATGTCGGACATGTCTGGATCCTCAGCAGCCCTCACACATCCGCACTGTCAGACGGGCTCTCACTTTATCATTCATAGTTTTAAATCATCGCTTCGCCTGCAGGAAACACGCAGCATTTTATTTTCCAGTCATAAACCATAAAACTTGCCTCTAACACGAGTTATGATCCTTGGAGACTGAGAGAATGAATGTTTAAAGCAGAACCAGACACGATGGCGGGCATCTTTCTTCCCCCTTTTCGCCTGGCATCCCCTCATGGCTATGGTCGTGTGGTGGATTTTCCAAAAAGCCCCATCATGATCTTAATGTCACCAGGGTTGTATGTCATTTAGCAGTGAGCTGGATCTCACTGCTCCGAATTACCAGTCCATTGGTTCTCAATTAACACTCGCCTGATAACATTTGAACGGCCCTTCATCTGACAGGAAGAACACATAGGGCTACTTCATGTTTAAGTTAAAGGCAAAGATGGGACCCCTGCCCACATTTTTGACATTTTATTGCCTAGCTGAAACCTATGGAAAAAACCTGTTTTGCATGAATATTTGGCACCAATCGAACGTTCATGCTGTCTAATGTTCTGTACACTCGGTGGTGCTGCAACAGTTTGACAGCCGAGATGGTGTATAATTTGAAACACTGACATGAAGCGGAGGCCTTGGACAAAGAGGTCTTTTGTTTGTGTGTTTGGTCGCTGTCCATGGTCCTGACACTCACATTTTCCCAGTAATTCCGTCTTCTTTTTTCAGGCAGTGGGGCCATGTATCAGATTGCAAAATCTGAAATGGCAGAAATCCTTAAATGTATGCTTTTTCATGTTTCATAAGTGCACTTTTCTCTGAGCTGCGTTTCACTTAGCAGCAAATGGTTTCGGGGAATCAAATGTTTCCAAAGCAGGCTAAAGACACGAGGTTGCTCTAATCTAGTGATGAATGGATTCTGGTGCTGGATGTCAGGACGCCTTACAACCTACCATGTCTGTGAAGAACTGGGCCGCTGCCTGGATGCTGCTCGCCTGCCAATTGATAATTTCTTTTATTACGGTTCAAAAGTCTCGTTTACCTTCCCCCCTCTCTATGAGGGTGAAGAACATTTAATATCTGACATTCATTCACGGAGCAAAACTTCTTCTACGGGCTGAAGTCCACAGACGCAGAACGTGGGGTGTTGGAACTTTAGTACGAGCAGCACTAACATTATAAGAGCTAGTTTGGCCACATCCAGCTTGCCTGTGGCTGTATGGAACACCATATGGGTGGGCCCCTCAACCCGGTCCCTAAGGTTACATAAAAAAAAGCCACTAGAGTGCGCCAGAGTACACAGTTATTGTTGACTCAGTTTGAAGTTCTCCTGGAGCTGGAGGGGGGTTGCTCAATTACAATCAGATCAAATTAAGATCTGTTTTGTGTGTTTTATTGTGGGCAGGTTCCTCAGCACAGAGATGGTCTTCCACTGAGAAATTAAAGTGGCCCTTTTCCATTAGTTAAAATTAGATATCATTAGATTAGAAAAGGTTCAGGGAGGTCACGCCGAGTCGACAGGCAAAGCCCACACTAGAGAGTTCATTGCCCTGAGTTTATCTCTGGACCAAATGAGAAATCAAGATGCATAGATTCCTGCAGAAAAGTCACACAAACACATACCCACAGCCCTGTTAGTGCAGACGGAAACATAGGCAGAGATATACTGCTAGTGAGTGGTATGGGACCCTTGAGGATCACTTCCCGCCTGAGCTGCTCCCCTAAAACGTTTGGAGAGGTCAAGTAAACAGTTTGTATGGGCTGTCATCTCTCTGTGTGTGTGTGTGTGTGTGTGTGTGTGTGTGTGTGTGTGTGTGTGTGTGTGTGTGCACAGTCATCTGATTGGAGTGGGTTTGTCTCCTCGTAAACTCCTGTTTGTGTTCCTCTCTTGTGGTTACATAAGGAAGAGAGTGCAGTCCTCTTTCTGCTGCTGCTGCAAAAACGATATGACCTGGTATAAAAATCAAGCGCACATCATCACTGGCATCATTCTTCAACCACTAAATTCAACAGGGACAAAAACTCCACACCAAGCCCTCTTAAATGAGTCTGCCTCGGCTCCGCTGTCTCTCCTGTGCATGCAGGACATTATGCAAATGTATCTGGGTGTCTGGGTCCCGTTGCTCCTCCGGAGTTCATTATTATAATTGCTAGACATGGCTGAGAACGCTGCAAATGTGAACCTGAAACCAGCAGGATCCTTTTTTTCCATGCAATCTATATTCAGGGAAATCCTGAAAATGTTTCCAATCTGAACGCTAAAAAAACATAGATCTCCTTCTCTTCTCTCTCTGTGTTTCAGCATGTGTACGTGTGTGCGTGCACACTTAGATTGGCTCTATTATGTCTTGGAATAATGTAAAACAGCTTCCCTGGGTCTCCCTGTCTCTGTTCATGTCTCCATCTCTCTGGTTTCGCAGTGTACCTTTGAAATGATGCCATGACAGAGGCGGTGGCAGTAGTAGTGTTCTGGCTGAGCGTGCCGTTAGGGGCCCCAGCCTTAGCCACTGTCCAAAGACAATGTTGGTGCAGACAGAGCTGCAGACCAGAGATGACACCGTTAAAGTGCTTCTTGTGCGCAACACGTTAAGAGATCTGCTTAACTGTTCCAGAAGTGTGGACAATGTCAAATGTTATAGGATAATTAAGAGTACTCTCAGACAGTTGTGGTCCTTTATATTTAAATACAAATTTCAGCAGAAATATAATCCAAATATGAAAACATTAAGGGGAATGAGCTCGAGACACACACTTTTTTATTTAGGGTTTGTGAGATCACCTGGTAAAATAACCAAAAGGCAAACTTCTCCTTCTCTCTCATTATGAATAAAATACAATCTAAGAATATGCAGCCTGAATATTTTTTATTTCAAAAACTGGATAAAAGATGTCTCCTACAATCAGTTATTGAAGGCACCACAGTTGGATGGGTTGTGGTGTCAACAAAATCTTGTTTTGCACACAAGTCTTGAATTGCTTTAAAGATAATTGACAAAAAATGCCTTCTGTGTCAAATTCTTCACATGACTTGACTACAGTGTATGTATGCAACGTCTATCACTAAATAGTTGTGCACTTTCTTAACATGTTATCTTCAAATGTGGGCCTGGCCAAGCTACATTTTGTACATCACACATATGAAACAGCCAATCGCTGTTTAACACGCAAAATACCGACATATAAACAGGCCGTTGGCAGTTGGCACAGCACGGACAAATAAACTAACCTGGAAACTCTACCGCTGAGGGGACTTAATTAACAGCAGAGAGAGAGAGAGAGAGAGAGAGAGAGAGAGAGAGAGAGAGAGAGAGAGAGAGAGAGAGAGAGAGAGCTAAAGTTAGCATTAGCATACTAAAAGTGACAGCCAACATTTGAGCTTGCATTTTTGGTACGTAAACCACACTCATGAACTTCCTACAAAACTTACCAAACACTCCCACCATATGTTATTGTTTGTTTCACAACCACTCGCACTGTATCAGCCACTGCAGTTACAAGCTAGCAAGCTAACACACAACATTAACAAATAAGATGCTAAATACACTTACCATTCTAATACGACTGCTAGTCCCAGACGGTAGTGCACAACAACCTCCTTTTAATAACACATATTTCAGAATTTGTATAATGCAGTCTAATGGATAAAAATGGATACAAATAAAGCAGACGCAGAAACATTTCTCCAGATCGCGAGACTGGCGGGTCTTTGCTCAGACTAGCGCGAGCGTGGGCGGGGCCAGATCCAGAATTACTATGAGTAATGAGTAAACAAATATATTACTTCCAGCCTATTTTTTGTTTAGTTTTTTGTTTGTATGTGGAAAACTATAATATAATAATGTTAAACGAAACATATATAATAAAAGAGTATTATATATAGTATAAAACTTACCTGGAGGCAGATGAAAAGTAGTTTTTAGATAATCTCTATACACATGCATATTGCCTTTTTTTAAATTAAACAAAAACGTATTTCAGTGAAGAGAGAAGATTAAGAGCAAACATTAAGTTACAAAATTCCTATTTTATTCTTAAAACCAACAACATGTACAATCACAATGCCAATTTCACTCAATGTTGTCAGGTCTGTGTGTCCCTTTAAAAAAAAAAACGTACTTGATGTTTGTGAAACGTACCAGCAAAATCTAATGGGGTCTCCATTAGCTTTAGTTTCCTGACAAGTGTTCATGAGAGAAGAAGCATAACAATATACATAACAAGTAAACGTAACATAAGAGCAGGGTAAGGTATGGTTCCTGGATATCATACATGTGGATCATTAAATAATACAAGGTTTTTGATGACAGTTTTTATACAACATTTAACCAAAGGAAAGAAAAATGACAAACCTCTTGTGTTCTGATGAAAAAGAACACAACACTAACAAAAGCAGATAAGAACAAACTGGGATGTCAGTGCTGCATTGATGTGTAAACAGTTTTTAAAAGACCATTTCCTGCCTAAAGTTTGGAAAGAAAAAAGATGATTAAAAAAAGGTCCAACATATGTGCATAGTTACTATGGAGACATTAACCAAATTTGTATTGGAAAAAAGCTTTAAAATCACAACAATCTAAAATGTTTTATTTGCTTTCTCGTGTTACACTGTAACAGCAAAATGATTTTTCGTTTGGGCTGGAGCAGTTGGGGAAATGTAGTTTGACATGTTCAATTCCATTAAGTGAGTTCAGAACATCCTCTGCAGAGACTGGAAAACAGGCGCTGCGTGCAAACCTTCAATGAAAAGCTTGAAGTCTGATCCTTGGACAGGGCCATGTTTTTCTCAGCTTTTTCAAATTGGGTTATTATATTACCTTCATGCACTGAATATCATATTGTATGAAAGCAAGAAAAACGCTTTTTTTCAAACAAATACCAACTGCCTAGTGAGATCAGATTCAACTCCAATGTAAATGGCTTGTTTGGCCAAGTGTTATCCATTTTGAGTGTGCATATGTGTGTGTGTATGTTTGACTCCACTGGTGTTATATCTGCACTGAGGACCAAAACCACGAGCCCTGCTGGCAGCCTGCCGCAAGTGCTGCTAGAAAATAAAACAAGAAATAAGTGCTTTATGAAACAAACATACACAAGTCTCCCATATTTTTTGGTTACTAGTTTGCTGCCAGCAGCTGCATCCAATCATTTCGGTTTCTGCGCTTTTTTTTCTTTTAACCCCAACACTTATTTAAAAATCTCACATATTCATTTTAAATGGGAAAATATCAGACCTCTGCCTCAAACTGTTGCCACAGAATGATTTTAGATTGTGACTCGGATAAGTGAGGAGAAATCGGTTAGGTAAACCATGTCAACAAAAGCAACAAAAATAAGGAAAATAAATAAATGTCTGAAGGAATGTCACAGTCTCTTTGTCTTTAACGGTGATATTTCTCTTCCAGTCTCAGAGACTGAAAGAGATCAATTCAAACAAACAAAGTACCCGTGTGTGTCACACACTAAGACAAACTTTTTCAAAGCTATCTTCTGCACATGATATGAACGCTACAATAGACTTGGCATGTTTTTTCTGATAATCTTGACAGATGATTCAGCCACATTGGATATGAAAAAAAAGATATGCAGATCTACAAAATCTGTATTGATTTGAGATCAATGGATAATTCCAGTCCTGAGGAGTTCATGTATCGTAAAAGAAGCAAACCTTAAAGTCTGACCCGCTGAGTGCACCATTAGGCGTGGCACCATTATAGAGTTTGTATAAATGTACCATTTCTTATTTGGACAAGAAGATTCATATGTATCTGTGTGCATGTCAGACTAGACCAACGAAAGAAATCAGAACGAATTCCCCCTAAAGGATAATTATTTGTTCCCCCATTGAAGCTCTCTATCATGGTTTGTTGCCAAGAGGCACAATACGAGTTATTGCTCAATAAATACCAAAGGTTTCATTCCGAGCCAAATGTGTGTCAACGCCTAGCGAGTATGTCGGGCTCTTAACGTGTGGAGCAGTTAAACTGAAAGTTACACCAGGAGAAAACATGTTGCAATACTCTTTGGAAATTACATTTCATATTCGAAACGATTCAAATCTTTGGGTACTACAAAAGAAATTAAAAGCTCTCACTTATTTAAATTACTTATCAAAAAGAAAAGAAAATAACATAATTTTAACTTAGTCATATAGATGCATCAAAAATATTCAGATTACACTTCTTTGACTCAAGTTTCAAATACAATACATAATTTATGGCTTTATAAGTTAAAACTAAGAAAACGCCTCAATCTACATCCAAGTTTCACCCACAATATACAAGTTAAATTAAATGGTTTAAAGCAAATTTACTGTCCATACCACTTGAGGTAACATATGTGTTACTCTCATCACTTGCTACTCAGTGCCTTACTTGCATCTTGATATTGTCGTAGTACAAAAACATGCTCTGCAAAAAGCCTTATTGAAATACAAACACAATACAAAAGAGGCAGTCTTATACAAATATTGTTGAAGCATCCCTTAGCTTGTGGATTATAATGAAATCTAAAGAATGTCTCATCCACTTGGGCCTAGTATACCACAATTGTCTTGTCTCATTATTGCTGTGAGAATGACTCCCTTTGTAGTGCCTTGGTCAAAACACATTCCAGGAAGACGAGTCCATACAAGTCTGGCTTTTTTTCTTTTTTTATCTCAACCTTCATTTCCAAGTACCAGGAAGAGATAGCTGATGAGAGCTCAAAAATCCCCTTTTTAATTAAAAAATAAAGGTTTTGTGCTTTCAAACCATGACATCATTTGACTTCCCCTCTCCGTCCCCCTTTGGTTTTCTTCAATACGGCCTCCAGACGGCTTCATCCATGCGGCCCCCGGGGTTGAGGACAGTCGGGGAGTTACTGTGGCTCCCGTCGCCGTCCACGCCTCCCTCCGTCTGGCTGGGCAAGTTGGGGTTCACCAGGGAGGTGCCCGTGGAGGCGCTAGTGCAAGGCGGGATCATCCTGGAGGGCGAACGATCCCCGCCGGGAACCATGGAGAACTGGTAGGAGCCGGAGGACGCACCGTAGTAGAGATAGGGCGTGCTGCTGGTCTGGAAGGGGCCGCTCTGGCTCTGGGTGGAGCCTGGGTATGGGGGGGGAAGGTAGGTATGGTAGTGCGCGCTGCCCAGCGACATGGCGGAGGTGACGGGCGGGGTGTAGGTGAAGCCGGTCGGGTAGTGCATCCTAGGGCCCGTGTAACGACTATCTGTGATGGAGGAGAGGCTCGGGAACTGGCGCTCAAACTGACCCGGGAACGGGCTCAAGTCAGAAGAACCTGTTGAAACATAAAAAACATAATTACTTTACAATTCGCAGTAAAGCACACATCATCATAGAAGCAGAAATCGTTTCATAGCGGTTTGTCAGCTTTGATTTAGTGAAACTTGTATTTTTGGATACTATACGTAATTGAATTGAACAAATTAGTCCCTTGAGGGGCTAAACAGTAGTAAACTGAATAGAATGTAATCAAATATTTCAAGCCAAAGAAGTGTATTAACCAAATTAGGAAAATACTTTAGCTAATGGATGTTGTGTGCAGAGCTATAAAATATTATTAATCAAAAAATATTATCATCTTCACTGGAGTTTTCCAACCCAGCTCTTGAGGTCTGATAAAGTTAACAAACACATCAGAGACGTTGTGCGCATGCATATCCCTTAATATGTTTATGCCTCTGCATATTTATGTTTCTGTGTGTGTGTTGGCACATGTCTATCTGTATAACTGTTTATGCATGCAAATGTGTATGTGCAAACGGTGTGTGTGGGTGCATGTGTTTGGTGGGGGGGCTGATGGTGTGTATGTGTGTGTGAATACTGTATGCACATAAAAAAGCAGTTGGGATGAATCAGGAGCTGCACATGTGGAAACACTTTGAGCAGAAACAGTTTCCATGAGATCCATAATGAGGCAGGGCTGAGCTCTGATGTGGCTCCTCTCCTCGCCTCCCATCGGCTCCAGCGTGTGTGTGTGTGTGTGTGTGTGTGTGTGTGTGTGTGTGTGTGTGTGTGTGTGTGTGTGTGTGTGTACGTGTGCATGTGCAACAAGCGAGTGAGAGCTGAGAAGGAGCTGCTCCATCTCACCCTTCGTTCCTCTCTTTGCTTCATCCCTTAAAAAATACCCGAAAACCACTAACTGGCTGTGGCGAGCTTTGCGCTGGGCGCAGAGTTTAAGGAGAATAGGAGGTCCTCCCCCTCTCGCACTCCCTCCCTCCCTCTCGTCTCCTCTCAGTGGTTTAGTCCAGCCATGGTTCTCTTATCATAAATCACCAGGCGTCTTCCGTGTCACCATGTCTGCTGTGAGAGGACAGGGGGTGGCGGGGAAGAGGAGGGAGGAGGGGGACGCAGTGTTTATGTGCAGGGAGGAATTGCGAAGCCGGATTTGTCGCTAGAGTCAGATAGCATATGCTGCCAATTAAGCCCTTTAAACTTCCTCTTTCCACAAGATCCGTTTGATTCTAACAGAAATAGTAGGTGATTGTCTCCACTGTGAAGGAGCACTGTGATCACAGACGTGACCGACTCTGTTCAATAAACTCCTGATTCCTGCTTTCAACATTTGGACCTATTTTAGTCCTCAAAGGGGCCCTGTGATGATGAGCCAGATCGATCTTTATTAGCTTAAAAGAAACCAGAGTGGAACCATGTCAAAATATTTAGAAAGGGTTTTTACAAAGTCTAGAAGAGCATCACTTCTGAATTAGGTGTTTTTACTTGACTGATGAACTCTTGCAACCCATTTCTTAGCGACTGTGACATTTCAGATGAGCTGGATTGTGTGTGTGTGTGTGTGTGTGTGTGTGTGTGTGTGTGTGTGTGTGTGTGTGTGTGTGTGTGTGTGTGTGTGTGTGTGAGTGAGTGAGTGTGTATGAGTGTGACGCCGCAGAGTTTGCTCTGGAGCATCCATATTCTGCTCGTACTTGTTGGTATGTTTCTGTGGCTGGATTCTGTTACAGCGCAGCCTGGCGCGGTGTCAACTTGATCTGCAGAGATCTGAGAGCCTTAGTCGCATCACTTAGAAGGCATTAAGTGCTGGAGGTGTGCGAGTGGGCCAAGGTGGGAGGAGAGTTTTTTTTTGTTCGAGCCTGTGTTTGTGCGCATGCACGTGTGTCACTGAGAACAAAGCCTGACGCTCATGAGATGAAAGCAGAAGGGAAAGACCAAAGTAATCATAGCTGACAAGGCAGCTGGCTGGATTTTAAACCCTTTCTAATGCAGAGTCACACGGCTGTGTCGCGTAATCACTCACCCTCGTTCAGGGCACACACCCACACCCACACCACACACACACACACACACACACACACACACACACACACACACACAGGAGTGTGTAGTATGTTAGCACAAGAAAACAGAGAGAGAAAAAAAAAGCAGTGTAGGGAAAAAAACTCTCATGGCAGTGAGTCAAACAGGTGTACGGGGGAGAAACTTGTCTGGCGGCATGTAGGGAGTTTAAAGGAGCTTTCAGGTTGGGGGAAAAAACAGAGACAAATTGGAACACAGATGCTGCCGTTAAGGCAAACACACTGGCTAAGTCAATTACCCAGAATGCCTTGTGAGAGTGCCGTATTGCTATAAAGACACTTTATTTGTCAGCCTGTTATTATCCCTGGGCCTGTTATTACCCATACTCATCTGGGATCAAAGGCTTGGAGAGGGGAAAAACGGAAACAATCCTTTTTTTTCTTTTCTGTCGTCCACGCCATCCAAACCGCTCTCTGGAGAGTCAGTGGGACAAATCTTGTAATTTGAGAATGAGCCAATAGCAGCTCGCTATGTATGTAAGTCTTTGGTAAATGGTAGCACATGGATCTTTTTGTAGTCTTTGTTTATGTTTCTGCTTTTGAGTGGGAGCTTGTCGTATATCGCTTAAGAATATGTATTATCTGGATCATTTGTGGCGATTTAAGGAGATAAAGTAATGGATCTACCTGGCAATCGTCTAGGCACGTCACTGATGGCAGGCAGGCCCGTGCCTCGGCTGGAGGAGAGGGGGGTGGTGGAGTGGACGGAGGGGGACGCCATGGGACTCAGGTAGGACGGGTACGTCTGTTCATACGACCAGGGAGGAGAGGACTGGGACTGACGAGGGTCTGATGGGGAGAAGGAAAGCGAGGTAAGGAAAGGAAGAAGGAGATAAATAGATATAAAAGACAAAGAATAGTTCCCAGTGGCCCATTGTCTGGTTGATATGTTCATTTACTTTGGAAAATTGACCAAAGATTATACAACTGTTGAATTCTAGTGTCTCTGTCCTTAAGTTTAGAGGTAAGTATCAGTTGGACGCGTTATGCAACATCCTCCGTAATGACACATCTAATGTTTACCTTCCAAGAGAAGATCTTCCTGTTTGCCTTATAAAACATTGTGCTCGCAGCTGAGGACAGAGAGCCTTGCTGGCAAACAACCAAGATGTAAACACACTGGTAGACAACCAAGAAAACAACCGCCACACACACTTTATTGTGTATGTCTGTGTTGCAACAGTATCGGAGAGCATGAGAGTTGCTCGATATTGCATTTTATGGGATCTATTTGTATGTGTTATGATGGAATTAGCTTACTAATGTGTAGTGATTTACAATCTCTAACTCAGGGATTACTGCACAGGGTATGTGCCAGGAGTTGTCGACATGCAACAGAGATTAAGAACATATTGAGTAAGCTTTAGTTTTTGGTATATGTTGTTATTAAATGTGCATTAAAAGTAGTAAGCACGATAGCAGAGAGGTCAAAACAGCAAGAAGTCTGAACAAACGTTGAAAGAATAGTTATCTAAAAATTATGAGTTAACAGTTGAAAAAGCTGGCTGAAAGTATTAATGGATGAAGGTTTGAAATGGTTTGGTTAAAAAAGAAAAGAAACAGTTCAAAAACTAAGCTAAAAGCCATGGATTCATAATTCAACATTTAAGATAGTTATCCAAAAGTAGAAATGAATAAAGGGTTAGTATAGTTAAAAAAGGAATAGATAAACAGTTAAAATTGTTAGCTACAGTATAAGTACAAAGGGATAAATGCTTGAGATAAAATCATGTTTATACAATAAAAAAAACGAAAAACTGTTGTGGTATGTACTACGAATGCAAATGCGACACAACTAAATAATTGAAAGTTCAATTGTATGAAAACATTAATATCCACTTTTATATAATTGAAAGTGTAAAATGAACTTTAAACCCATTGTAATTTGTGATGAAAAATCCTGTTATTGGGGGAAGGCCGGACAACAAAAGGTCAGGAACCACTTCTTTAATCAAAGCTGAATTTGGATATAAACTTCATCCTTCACCTCTAAATATTTACTCTGGAGATTTGTTTTGCTCACATGCAATTAAGGTCCAGTCCAGTGTATAATACTCTCTGCCACACGCTGTCCAACCATGCCTCAAATGATCCACTAAGTAACACTACAAAGCCATGGCAGACACTAACTAAGAGCTAAATGACGACCTGTGACGAGCCTACGGAGGTGTGGAGGATCATGTAGCAGCCATCCCCAGCCGTGAGAGATGGTGTTACCTTCTAGGATGTAGATTGATAGAGTGACATGGAGCAGAGAAGGACAGATGATCCAGGAGGCAGTGGAACATACTGCACTGAGCGTTCTGTGGTCCCATCAGGATGTGCACATGGCCCCAGAGTGGGTTTGATGTTTCCCCTCACATACAGTAGAGTTGAATACACTTTGTGACTTAGCCTTCTTGCTTTTTAAGTGATATGCTTTAGGATTTTGGAAAAAACATTTAATATTTTGAAATTTTTGAAAAAATAAAATGTATGCGTGGACATGTTATCTGAAATCTGAAACATTATAAGGAATATTTTCAGATATTTATCTTAAAGTCACAACATTACAAACTCATTATGCTTAAGGACATAAACTAATATAAAAATAAATTGATGTAAACCTAACAAGTTGTCTTGTTTCTTTTGAAGTACAATCTTTTTTAAATGTTATAATACAGCAGACTGATCATGACCATGTGTATATATAAATATACATGATATATATAAATATAGCCCATATATATGTTGAATGATCTCCCAGCCTAAAATATATGAATTATTAGGGTCATTGTAGGACATACAAAAGAAATATAATTTTAAATATTTGTAATTCTGGATAACATTTTTCCTTTGTCACTCTGTTAAAAATGTACCCGGTTAAGGTTTTGTTTTATAACCCTATTAAATGAATCCTGTTCAATGACAGGAGCCACTTGGGGGAGCCAACCCATTTCATTAAGGGGGTCAGAGGTCAATAGCAGCTCCAGTTCACTAAGATCCTGCTCTACCACACTTCCAAAGAGTGGATGCTTGCTGTAATGTTCTTAAACTCTATCTTTTCTGTGTCTGAGACTAGGAGTTGAGAACCGGCTGCTCACCTGTTATCTGCGTCTGTCCCTGCGGGTTGAAGGAGTTGTGCCCTGTGTTGAGACTTTGCCGGGGGCCTTGATTGGGAATGGCCACCCTCACCCTCATCCTCTCGAGCTCACTGAGGCGGTCTGAGAAGAGCCCAGTCTTTGGAGGGTCCTCGAGTTTCTGACGATGTCCTGGGGACACAGGAAAAACAACTATTTATTAGTTAGGAAGTTTCAAGGTGCAGGGGAAAAAACTGTACTTGATAATGGTGTTTATGCGTGCTGTTTTGTACAAATCATTGTTAGTTTTTTCTCTTGGAAAGAAGGTTGTCAAAACCAAGGGGTTCTCCATAGTGTCAAAATGACTCAGTTCTTCTGTGTGCCATGCCTAACCTGGTAAACACAGTTTGTGCTCCTAAACAAAGAGAAGGTAAAGAGAGGCTTTTGGGATGGGATGCAACTACATCCTGCCAACTAACAAAGACTTAACAATCATCTCTCACCTTGCATCAGAGCATTAGAGAGAATTACGAGTGTGTGAGACATTGCACGTATATTTAGTTTTAACCTGAGGCTTCTTCATCAGGTAAACACAAGCTCTCACGCCATCACACAATTATCCCCACAGGAGTCGTAACTTATGCCAAAAATGTATATCTTTTCCGGCATTCCTCTGCCAATAGTTGTACACCCTTTATTGCCCTGATTATACTCTCATCTCTTTTGGGCTAACTCCAGACCCCTTCAATATACAAATACATGCACATTGCAAACACACAGGACATCACAAGACAGTGCGTCAATTGTGACCAATTCTATCCCAGCAGCCATGTGGGCCCTATATTAAGAACCACAACAAATATGTTCCCATGGGGCGCAGGCATAGACTACAGTTTAGCTAAGGTGGGGTAGAAAGAGAAGCCTGTGCACACACAGTCCTTTTATCACTGACACAGGTCTATGTTGGTGCGTCTGTCTGGTCTCGCACTAGTTCTCCTGTAAAGGCGGTAAAGTAAATATCAAACAGAGGTAGGTAGAAACTCCTGCTGTGCTTGGCGGGGCTCCAGTTGGCTCAGGCAGAAACAACGAGCTACTTCAGAATCCTGCCCAACCTGCCTGCTGCCTGGGAACAAAGACCTGACACTACAGTTACGGTAACGATCGGTGTCAAGTAAGGAGATCATCTCTCTTTGCAGATTCTTTTGTCCCTTCAATATCAAATAAAAACACCAGAAGACATTACAAATAATCATTTTAATCCTCTGTGTATTATTTGTCCATTACAGCAAGTCTGGAAAAAATATCAACCACAGAAATGCTTTTATCAGATCATTTGATGCTTCGCAACAAATTCATTTATTCCGAACAAATATTATGGAATTCTGACTTGAGAATGGCAGGAGTGAAGATGCAGCCAGTGACAGTCAGACAGACCATGATTTGTTTTTATTACAATGACGTTACCATACTGGCATCATCAAGTTCAAATAAACAGACAATCTCATCATCCGCTTCTTAACATAGATGACTTGGAAGGGGGATAATAAGGGCTACTTGCAAAACCCTCAGCTTATTGAAGTTTCTTTTTCTTCATAACATAATTCATGGCTATATTTCATTAATAATATTTCTCTGGATAATTTGTGCCTTACTTTGGCGTTTCTCATCACTCTATGCAAGCTGTGCCCAGTCAATCATAGCATTTCCATTTTCAACAGACCAAATTTCTATTCTAAAAAAGCCTCGGGACACAGTGCGGGCTTTGTGCACAGGCCGTCTCCTAGTGATGGGAATAAATAGCAATGGGAGACCGAGGGAGATGAGGGGAGACAGAGAGGGACAGAAACGAGGGGGAGGAGGCACATGGAGAGGAAGAGACCCTGATGACCAGTAAATTAAGAGTACTGGATTGAGCTCAACCAGTCAGCAGACACAGTGGTGAACACAGAGCACAGCGAATGGTGAATAGTTAAAGGGTTTAGGATTTCGACTTGTGTGAGGAAGATCCCAAAATACAGACAGATATTTACATTTATATTTAAGGAGATAAAGATAGATCAACATGATAGATAGAAGATGTTACTGATAGCTTGTCACAATTTCAGCAACACTCAGCAACCACCCTTATTGTCAAAATACCTATGGATGCAACCCAGTTTTAAAGGAAACCAACGTATTTCTTCTCCTATAGGAATGCAGCATGTCAACCACCACATTCAGGTCCAATTTACACTGCAAACAGCCAGACCTCAAGTCCATTAGTTTAGCCTGCCTTGACAGTAAATACAGTTTTTCATGAGTTAATTACACCTTTTAGACGACAACTGTTGCCAAACACAAGACGTCTCAGCTGTTTTATCGGAACCCTAGCAGGGCGGAGGAATGAGCCGGGGGTATTTAAAGGAGCGGGAAAGGCGGATGATTTCACTGCCGTAGGGAAAGTCCCTGAGATTCCCATCATCCCTGTGAAAACAGCGGAGATTTTCGATAGCGCCTGCCACTTTCCTGCCCAGCCAGCCGCCGGAAACATGGACAGATTCAGACCAGATGTGAGCAACTTGCACACACGCGGAAACACACGAAAAACACACACACACGCAAGAATGGATCTATGCAAACACACGTCTGCGCATGCAATCATGAGTATTTGCACACAGGCACCGTGCATACACCTTTGCACATGCACTTACAGTACAGGCCCGGGCTTGCACATACACAGTAAAGAGATTAATAATGATTAGATAACGCCTCTATAGATAGTATCTGTAATCACACAGTTGCACACTGATCCTAGAATGGTATTATTTCAGCCGTCGCAAAGACATAAGTCTGGATTCAACTCGACCCTTCGGATCTGATAACAGTTAGTAATGGCAAGTAGGCAAACAGAATATAAGTCCTCTGTAATTAATGGCAGCATTAGATTTGATCTGAGCCTGAGCACCGAGATCTTTGACGAACAGTTCCCATATATGTCATGTCTGAAAATATTTCTCCAATACCTAAGCGTTTTTATAGCTTGGGAATTATTCGCAGAGTATTTTTTTCATAAAAAGTGTGCCAATGTGTTTTTCATGACTAAAGATTGTAAAGGGATCGTTTTTGGGAAATACACAAATTTTCTGGGAGTTAGATCAGCAGATTTATACCACTTTCATGTCTGTGCAGAGGGATATGTGTCATTTAACGCCACATTTTCACACCCAACTCTTACATACGTAGACATTTGAGCAATTTTGAACACAGGCTATATGGTGCAAAATATCGGATTTCCAATTCAAATAAATACTTTATTTAAGCTAGTTAAGTAGTCAATGTAAATAGGTCGATGATTGACATCTGGTTAAGACACCAATTTCTTCATAGTACGACACCTGACTTTGATAGCAGTTTTCTATGTGCATCTTATTTAGTCGCAACTGGAAATGCAAAAAATGCAAAACAAAAAGCAAACAATGCATAGCTATAACCCTCAAAATAATGTTTTGAAATTAAGATGGTAACCAGACAATTGAGAATACAAGGCTGTCGAAACACTAAGCCTGCCTTGGGTCTAAAGGGAATCCAATTTGTAACAAAAGAGATTAAACAAGTAAGTGAGATTTAGAGATGCTAGTGGGAACATTTTGTTACATTCAAATTGTGTTACATTTATTTGTAATATGATTCTTAGGTTCTAAGTGAGAAATGCTACCAAAAAGGCATTTATTTTCAACCTCCTCCTAACACCAACACATGAAGTTTCAGATATCACTACAGACACATAACTAGGAAATTATCTTGCCTGCTGCCTGACTAAGGGAGGAAAATTCGGAGCGCCAGAAGATCCTTAATAAATGGGATGATTTATAAATTTGCTGTCACGTCATGCCCTCTAAGCCCTTCAGGCTAGTTTATGATCACTGGGTGAGCTTGGATGAATGTATCTTTGGGGCTGATTCAGAAAAACCCCCATGCTCATGGAGCCTGGGTTGAATCAGCCCGTCTGTGTTTGTATGTGTGTGTGTCAGTCATTTGCAGTGGAACAGCCAGTTAATTCCATGAATGAATACATTGGGTCCATATTTCACTTTTTTATTTGGAGCCCTCACAGTGGCCATGTTGTTTTTGTGAGCGGTCAGAAACAATGAATTATTTCAGGTGGCAATCTGAAACTGGCAGAGCATGGCTCGAAAGGAAAAGCACTGAGTGGGTGACATTCAGACGCCTGTCTACCATGGGGGTCTGGTATAGAGAGAGGAGGAAAGGAGGGAGGGAGGAGACAGAAAAGAGGGTAGATAATAAAAACAGAATTGGGAAAAACAGAGAAAAAATGAAGAAGGGGAAAAAGAGAAAAGGTGCGGGAGATCAGGCAGCGAGCGAAGGAGAGAAGGAGACGGAGGGAAAGGGGGAGCCAGGCTGTCGTGGAGCGCTGCCAGCCGTCTGTGTGGTCCATGCGTTCCAGCCTGGAGGAAGCAAGCCAGGCAAGGCAAAGGCACACACACACAGACGCACATGCATACACACAGACATGCACAACAATTCCCAAAGGCGAAACATTTATTGAACACAAAAACACATTATATACACACTTGTACAATATTGCACAAAGTTTAAATAGCACACACACATACAATCACACACAGTTTGGCTTTGGTGTGCTCCCTAAGCACCTCTCTGGTCAAACTAAAGTGTTTTGATCCAAATCCCTCTGAGATGTGTTTTTCTTTAACTGCCAACCAACTCCGGACCCTCTTCAATAATCTCTATCACTTTTATGATTCACTTTCTTCTCCCCCTTCTCACTCTTTATTCTGCTGTCGTGCTCTCTGTCTCTCCCTCCCACAGAATGATTTTGTGTTTTGTGCTGTAAAGGCCTTGGCACCTCTTCAAGGAACTTCACAAGACATTCAACTGACTGACTGCCTCTGGAAAAGCCTGCAGTCTTTTTTTCTCTTCTCTCTTTTTCCCCCTTTCTCCCTCCCTCCCTCCCTCTTTTGATTCCTTTTCCTCCTGATGTTTCGGGTGAGTTTTATTTGTCCGGCTCCCATTGTTAAAAGCTGTTCCGAGTAAGGCAGCAGCAGATAGGTGGGTGTGTAACTGTCTGAGAGGGGAAAAGTATTGAGTCTTCTCAAATCCTCTTTAAGTACCTGGATGCTGTACAAAAGTATATTCGATCCAAGAACATAAAGGTCCTTATGTTAATGTACATAGTTTAAATGGCTGACATTATTTAAAAAGTGTGGAAAAGTTTAATTTGCATTTTGCACCGAGCAAACACGTCTGTTGACAGAAACAAAGCCAAGGCCTTACAGCATGTAATAGTACCCTACAAGTGCATGTAATGGCATGTGTGTGTTATGACACTGTTCAGAGACCTTTTGGTGTCATCATGACAGACGTGTTAATAAAGGTGTCTCACTTACTCTAGAGTCTGTTTACAGCCAAGGAGCAATGAAGGTGACAGTTTTTTTCAAATAGCTATAATGGGACGTAGCCTGGCAACCACTACTATAAGGTTGTTTAGGTGTGTGGGTGTGTGTTTGTTTGAGTGCATTTGAGTGAGCATGGGTGTTAGCAGTGTATTCAATATGGTGAAACATATCTCATTTGTGGTGTGCCACAAGGCCCAGGTTAAGGTCCGCTATTGTTTTCTGTTGCATGCTGTCTTTAGTGGGCACTATTCACAAATATAATATCCAGTTTCATTTTTAATCACATGACATCCAGCTGTATGTATCAATAGCATTTGGCCACAATAGCAATCTTGTTACTCTCATTAATTACCCTTACAAGCTGAATGTCAAAAATTCCTTTTGATTAAATGGCAATAAAGCAAAATTCCACTTTGTTAGGCATATCCCTAAAAACCTTGACAGTCAATTAACGTTTAACCCATTGGTTCCCAAAATGGAGGGTGCGCCCCCTGGGGGGAGGGGGATGATGAATCTTCACTAAATGTTCAATAACCCACTCTTAAATAAGGCAGACAGGCAAGATTTTCCTTCTGTTGTATTTATTTGCAATTGTGATATGCAGCTAACTTTGTAGACAGACTGCTGCTACTCCCATTCACTTCCAGAAACCTACTACACTTGCTCCTCACTCTCGCTCGCTTTGCACATGCACACAGGTATTCCCCCTCTCTCTCTTAAAGGGACAGGCGGCTTTACTCTGCATGACCCTACATTATAACACACTGGTTGTGTTTTAGATTGGAGTGGAGATAGATTACCCACTGATAGGTAGGAGAGCCATGACATACAATTTATTTTGCCACATCCTACCTATGAGTGAGCTGTGGCCTCAATAGAAACAAAATACAGGCCAACACTGGACAAAAAAGTTTTTTAAAGTCCAAGTAGACTTCTTTAAATCTAAAGATATTCTTATATTGAACAATGCAATTCAAATAAAGTAACAATTACTATTAAAGCTATTATTTTGAACCTATGCAGAAGCATACCTGGAAGTATTATGTGTATGTGTGTGAGTGTGAGTATTTGTGTGTCACAGGAATATTTTGGCTTGGCAGACAGGTCTCCTGGACCACTAATATTGTCTACAGGCCTCTTCACCAAACTTGTTAACACCCTGACCAAAATCGAACCAAAACACGACCCTGTCCCCGAGCCCAGATACCCCCAGACCCTACAGCTTTTAAACTCCCGAGTAAAGACGAACCTGACCGCTAGCCTCCACCGCTAACACACACATCACATGCACTCAGTTATGCAAAGTAACCGCAGCCATATGCCCCAGCGAGAAACAGTACATGTGACGCCACAATGTTTTTTGTCACCTCCTATGTTTGTCTGTGATCAATTAACTATAATGAGAACAGTGGGTTTGGACAGAAAGCCTAGTATATTGTGTTATTACGGCTCGGTTATTATCACTCAGGAAGTTTGTCTCAGCTGGCCGCAGCCACAGCCAGGAGCAGCTGAAAGGAGACAGAACCACCTATAAAAGCATATTGGTTTAAACAACCACTCCCTGTCTATTAGCTCAAAATGACATTTAATGAGGCCTATTAGCTCTGCTCCAGCACTGTGGCTACACTAGACTAATGACACCAATAACACACACTCTCTCTCTGCAAAACATGACATGTGGGTCCGCGCTTGCAGACTCAGGCGCTATGGGACAGACATACATGCATTTGCAATCATATCTACATGCCTCTACGCTTGAACACACACAGACACATACATGTGTACACGCTTGCTGAATTGTTGGTGCAGTGGCAAACCACAGAGTAACCAAGAGCTGTCAAGCGATTAAGCACAATGGGAGCCACAGAAACCGAGTTAGCCTCCCGCTAATAACACAGTCGCCAGAGGGACCTGACTAACCACTTACCATACTCACACACACACTGTAACCTCTGAGGAAAATCATACCACAGATCTTTAAAACAGGGCCTCACTGATATTCGTCACTTTGACCACGCAATTCATTAGTTTAAACTCAGAGCCACAGTTCAGAGATATGAGCCCCGTTTATTCGCGGGTGGTCCGACTTTTTCCCCCCTCTCTGATATTAGATGTGGAACCGCTGGGGGAAATGACATCCCTCAGGAAGACTCATATGGCTACCACAAGGCTCATCAAACACGCCTACACAAAATATCCTTCCTGAGCTTGACACCCACAACCCCGCAAGTCATTAACAGGGAGCAAAACCTCCCAATAACATCAGGAAAATGTAAAAAACATTAATAAAACCATAGGGAATGGTTAATTATTTTAGCTTTTTATACCACTTACCAGCACACGTTAAAATCTTGTGTTATTGTCAGCCTATTTTCCAGAGACAACACAGTGTTTTCACAGAGAAGGGCCACAGAGTAACAGTGTATGTCAAGCTCAAGACAGCCCACTGTTCTTTCTCCGTGTGTCTCTGTTCGGACCCCTCCCTATAGGGGCCCGGAGTTCCAAAGGCCTCCTAATTACCCACTCGTTTAACACAAAATAGAGCTGTAATGGCCGACAAAGCCCCCCCAATGTGTCAATGAAGCGTTCACAGATAGAATCGCAGTTTCGGAGACAGCCGGTGCTCTCAGCTTGGAGTCTCTCCATGCTGAAACCTGGAGGAGGGGAGGTGTGGTTAAGAGGGCACATGTGTGTTTTGCCACCCTCCGACCTCGGCTTAATGACCCCTGAGAGGGAGACGTGTTCTGGCTGTAGTTTCTGGGTAAATTACACCGTCGCTGCAATTCTGACCACTTAACAGCGAAGTAAAGAAGTTCAAGGGTTACCTGTGATGACATACTCCTTATTGCTTAAATTACTGTCCTGGGACTGAAGTTATAAGATGCAGACTTCAACTTTAAAGCTTTGTCTCAGACCACAAATTGAGCAAATAGAAGGGAGGAATAATGACTGAAAGTGTAAAGTCTTTTCACAATGCCCCAATCCCTCACCTTACATCAGGTAATGCTGCCTTTGTCTAGTTTGGTGACTCACAGGCTTACATAAAGGCTTTCTAGACACAAATACAAGACTGCAACTCTGTTAAGACCTAAGTGGGCCTTTTCTAAACAATTTCTGCTCCGACTCCCATCTGCTCGCCACCGAATAACAGAACTTGTTTGAAAGTCATCTGACGGGGGACAGCAGATGCACAGGAAATGCTTTTGATCAAACAAGATGGCTTGAGTGCAATGAGAGTTAGAAGGGAAACAGTGGGTGTGATTGTGAGTACATGTGTGTTTGACGACAAGCATGTGCCTTTGTTTCAGGGTGCGTGTTGATGAACGCTGAATTTCGAGCGTCTGAGGCATTTTTTGGCACAACGGGCATGTTTTCCTACAGTGGAGACTGATGGTGGTACTAATCCTACTGTCTCCTGGCTCCTCTGTGTCTCTGGTGCCATATGTGACGGGCAGTCGGGTGGGTGGGTTGTTTGTGATTTGATATTGTTCACTGAGACGCCATGAGATGAGAATATGTTTTTTTTTATGAATAGGGAGGAGGGTCGGGGAAACAGCTGCATGCCAGACCAGTTGGCACTGAGGGCTATAGTAAAGTTTTTTTTCCCTCCTCAGTTGTTTTTATATGGCCCATTAAAAGGAGCTGATGCTAGCATTCTGCTACCCAGTGTACCCTCTCAGGAAGATTCTGCCTCACTTTTTTATTTCTCGTTTCTCTCTCAAATCGTCACTCGGGAGGCTGAGCTGCTTTCTGAGAGTCAACTTAATGAAAAAAGTCTGTTCAGAGCCAATTAACATAATCAGAACTTTTTTCCAGTAAAACGTTTACTTTGTTAATTAACTTATTTTTATTAGCCTGTCACCATTATAATGGGGCATTTGCTGCCATTGGCTAAGTGTACTGTACGTCACATCCACAGATTAATTAAAGCTGCACTTCACTAACTATAAAGTTTAGTTTTTTATCATAAGGTTTACTTTTGGGCATGTAAAAAAAACAGTTCAGAGTATAATGTCTTCTTACGCAATGCTGTGTACCTTTGTAAAGTTGAAATAGCGTCTAAATGAAAGACTACTGAGTTGCATTCTGGGAAATGTAGGATACAGTGCTCTAGGGAGCTTAGACAATAAAATGTATGATATTTTGACCTCAGATTCGTAATTGTTTTCATTTTTCTCATAAACCCCATATTTTTAAGCACCTCACCTAAAATACTGGTGTACCCATTCAAAAGCTGATTAAAAGAAGGAGTATTATGTTATTTGTGCATGTGTAGACATATTCCCTTACTGTACTGTATGTGCGTGCCGTTGTACTCACTCCTGGGCTCACGTGGTCCGTCCACGGTGACCTTTATGGCTCGGTGGTAAGTGGCCACTTGTGGCGGGTTGGTGAATACCGTGATTGTCAGCGTGAAGCTCTTGCCTGTGGTGACATCAAACAACATCAAATGACATACCATCTGCAAAGACAATGAGCCTCATTCATCGCTAAACCATCCCCAAGTCACAAGTGTGGTTGTGATCACATAATAGCTAATACAAACTGGCAAAAATCGACTTTAAGAGGATTAACAACAGACAACAATTGCTGTTTCAGAGGATCTATTTAAGTCTTTTGGCAGAGTCTTAATGGAGGATTGACTGGAGGAGCCAGTATCTTGTTATCCAGACTTTTCTCCCTGTCTAGCGCAGTGTGAGTGGGCGAGAGGCATTTTAATAGTCACTTCCTTTCTCGATAATCCCCAGCAGTTGCTGCCTTGGGGTTGAGTGTGAGTGTGTAATGCTCCCTTGTGTATGCACAAGGAGCCCTATGAATCAGAGCGCAACAGCCAAGTCAGCAGCAGCAGCAGTAACGTCTGAGGTATGCAGGCGCATCGCGTTGCCATGCCTACGCACAGGAAACAGGAAGCGGGGGGCAGGTTGCTGCAGCGACTCATCGGAGCAGCTGTCCATTCAGGCGCAGCCACCTAGTAGTGTGTGTCCTCCCCTCTCCTGCTCTACACTCACTGTAAACAAGCCTTTCAAAGAAGGGATAAGATGACTCAGGAGATAGCAGAAGCGACAGGTGTCCCCCATACCTGATATCTGAGGTGCATGTGGGCGACCTGCGATAAAGTAGGGCGCCATCATCTCTGCTGTCGTTACCTGCGATCTGATTCAGGCAACCCTGCACACTGCTATACTATTAACTCTAATGACATTATCCCAAGTATCTGATTCCTCTCTGACACCTTGCTGTCATCGTACTCTGGTACTATTTTAAGCTCTTGTCACTGTCAATCTTTGTCCATCTCAGTCAGCTCTCCCTGCCTCTGTGTGCACGACCTTTAGCTGTCTAACATCCTATCAGTTCGCTCTGCTTGTACTTATCTCAGGTATTCATTTCAGACACCTCGTAGTCCGATCTCCCCTGACTCCTATGTCACTTCCTGTGACTAGATTCTGTGTCACTTCTTAAGGGAGACACACGCAAGGTCCCCGAGGCAATAGGTCCAGCCAACATGCCTCCTCTCTGCTCTCTATACTTTTGTCAGCCCCTCATCTCTCCGGGCTGCCTCGGCTACCCTCCCTTTTTGACAGCTACAACAGAGGAAAAGTCACTGGCGGAGCTGCTGACAGCTCTTATCACCGTCAACTTATGGAAGGCGACCACTTTCTGTGAGATTTGGAGAAAAGAAGAATCTTTGGAGAGGGCGCGCGTAAATAAGACGATTTGGTAACATGACATTAAATGAGGCGAAGAGTCGCTCCTGCAATGCCAAATATTTAGGGAATGCTATTCGACCCAATAGGATGGGGCCTCTGCCTCACTGCCTGACAGCATGAGGATATGTGCAGAGCAATCAACATGTTTATAAGCCTCGACTGTGCCGGGTCATGTCAGGTGACATTATTTTAAAGACACAACACTGTCTTATTCAGCTGACGCCGGGCTGATCACACATCCTATTTTTGTTCAAAGCTTTCTTTCTTAAACCCAAGGGCAAAGATACAAAGCATTAAAAAGTTGGTTTTAAAAAACTTTTTTTACCCAACTTGGTTAAAAAGACAAATAATTATTTGAGGACGTTCATTTTCAAGCAACACGATTTACCACTCACAGGCGGTGGGATTTGAGCCTGGAGTTACAGATCATTATGTGGTAGCCACGAAGGGAACGTGACCACTAATCCACACCACTGAATCGAATGGCTCCCCCTGAGTTGTAGTTTTAGTGAATGGAGGATAAAGTGTGTCGGGCCTCACCTCTGCCGCTGCGGCCAACGAAGCGAAGGTCGTTGAAGCGCGCTACTTGGTTCTTCATCACACCAGAGGCATTCCGCAGCTCGGCGGAGTAGTTCTCGTCGTTGCCCGCCATGACGGTCACAACAGTCCCATCGGTTACGTCTCCCAGGGCAACCACCTGGCAGGGGCAGAGAGGTCAAAGGGCAGACATTTATTAACTGCTCAAAACAATATTCAACAGGTAGACACCCATTTTACTCCCTAGTACTGCGAAAAAATGTAGTAAAAAATCACACCATTCACAGTTTGCTACAACATATTATCTTCCTCTGTTTGTGGTAAAACAGAAATTAAAAAGTTAAAACTGAAAAAATATATTTTAATAATAAAGGAAATGCTTTTGTTGAAAGCCAAACCAAAATGAAATGAAACTATTTCTCTGTTTCACTGTTGAGAAGAATTCATTCGAGCTAATGTGACAGACTTGTTTGACATAATATCATCTTCATTCGAATGTTGATGAAAGGATTTAATTTCACTTTACTTCTAGAATGCTGTTTTCAAAACAAACGTTGCAAGGCCTTGTGTTATCATTTAGATTCCTGGATGCAGATAAAAGAGCAGGAGCCGGCCTCAATAGCATCAATAATTACAGAGCCATAGTAATAAGAACGGTTAAGTAACACATATTTTAAAATGTGTCACATTTGATTTGGAGCCAGCCAGGCTACAGCTACAAATTTCCACTTTGGTGTTTCTTTGATCCATCCTTTAAATAATAACTGTCAAGTAATTAATAGGGCCTTTCCTGTGAAATATCATGGGAGCAAAATATTTTCAAGGCTTCAAAAATGCCTGAAGAGGCCTTTAATGTATCAACAATTACTCTCTGCTTAAATATATATATTTCTTTTAATACTCTTCTGCTCATTAAATGTTCAGTAAAATCAACATGTGAAAACTATTTGATATCATTTTGGGTAATAATTTTAATAGGAGCTAGAATAGGCCATAACGTAGGTATAGTTTTTATAATTGTAACATATGAAGATAATTACATTGAAAATCAAAATAATATTAATCACCATAGAAACAAAGCTTTGATTGTAAAATAACCACCATCTGGGGGGTATTTAAAAGAGACATGAATGTTATAGTTTTCTACATTAAGTGCCTTTTGGAAAAAGGTACAATTATTATTTGTTTACAAAATGCGAGTAGAAAAACAATATACACATTTAGTTACTTATTTTACATTTAAAGACATTTTGCCAAACCTTTATTTTTTCTGTCCCTTTAAACACCACCATCATTTTGTGATTCATTTTCTGAATTTGTGTGGTTTCTGAAGTGGCTTTAAAAACTCCCAGATCCCCATGACATCAATAGTTACATTTTTTGTCAATTTGAAATAAAAACAAAAGGAAAAAGAAATCGCCATACAAAATAATTACATTACTTAAAGGTTTTTAGTAGATACGGGGTTCAAGAAAAAAATTATGCATACACAAAATATGTCTAAATTGAGTGATTTTAGTTTTATCTTACAGTGAACACCGAACACTTTACGGTTTACTTAATTACGGAGCACATCGCTGAGACGGGACTCACCTTGAAGGCGACAGGCAGCGTCTTGTTGCACCGCCAGTGGGACGGCAGGACGGAGCACAGAAAGTTGGGGCTGTCGGTCCGAACCAGCTCGGCCGGGTGGTCTGCGATGATCTCGGCCATGCTGCGGTTCTCGTGGGGGCGCAGTCTCGGCACCGCAGCTGAGTCCGTCTGCCCCGCTGGAGAGCTCACATCGTTCATCTTCCCTGGGACCGGCTGGAGGCTATTTGAAGGCGGACTAAACCTCCGACTGGCGCTGGGATCTACGGGAATTCGCATCACAACAGCGTTGGTTATCAAAAAGGCACCAAAGGCTCTCCAGCTCCTCTTTTTCTGTCTCTCTCACACACTTCAGGGGGAAAACTCGGAGTGTGCGCCGCTGCTCGCAGAACCTCAGCGCGCTTGCCAATGGAAAACTTATTGTGCGCACCGCGTTTCAAAACCCTCTCCACTACAAACTTTAGTGGTCGTCTTCAAACGATATATAATATACTTCTCCGTCAAGAAAAACAACCCTTGAAAACTTGATGATGTATTAAATGACGAGCTCCTTTTTTCAAACTTCTCGAGGAAAGCGTCCATGCGCCATAACGCAGGCGTAGTTGCTCGTGTGTGGATATAAATAACATCAAATAAATGTCCGAGCTCGTAATGGGCTATACAATTACAAAAAAAGGCAGGTTTAAAAGGGTACCGTCGACTCAGATGTAAAAAAAAAAAAGGTTTTGTCTGTCTTCCTTTAGTGAAAAGTCAAAGCACTGCTCCAGGTGCGTCATTGAAGTCTTTGTGCCAAACTGAAAGGCTTTTTGAAAGCCCGCAGGCAATGTACACACACAAAAAGTGTTCAAAGTCAAAGGAATACACTTTAACAATACTTGCTAGCTATTTATATACCACCGACGCCTTCAAAGTGTGTATATGTCCAGTAAAGTATCTTGGCAGTGTTGTATATAAGGTTAAAAAGGTGGATGAAGTTAAAAAAAAAATCGCCGGTGAGATGAAGGAGGCGGAAAAATAGTATCCCGTATTTGTAGCCGTAAATGTGGTTAGTGTTTGGAGGCCGGGGTTTCCCGTGCTCAGGCTTTTTGTGGTTTATATAGCTCGAGCGCCCAGCAATTATTGCGCTGATGCGACTCCAACACGTGGTGTCTGGAGTCAGATCCATTCCCTCTGCCATAATCTATCACGCCTATATACACGGCCGGACAGGTCTCAGTAACGTCGATACCTTCATGAAACACGCACGTCTCACGCATTTTCTCTCCGTGGATAAGAGTTTCACACTGCCTCACTTAGCTACATACCGACATGTTACCGCTCCACCGGACCATCGGCGCGCTCCTAACTCCGGGGGGGGTCATTTCCAGTCGGAATAAAACGAGTCAGTCCATCACTCCGCGTTGTGTTACCCACTATGTCCCGATAATACGCGGCTCAGAAGAGCGTACAGAGATCCGAGCCCGGGTGAGAAGTGAGTTACTCTCCATAAGGTAGGAGGGGGTGAGTCACCGGAGAGCGGTGACTCAGGTATAGAGGCGCAGGCAGGAGTAGGGTTTCACTCGGGCGCAGGGGAGAGCTGTTGTGCAGGTGTACAGGTATTCGACCAACACGGGCTTTCATTATGTTTACCCAGCCATGTGGCCGTTTACTGTGAACGGTTGGTTCTTTTTGGGAAAGTAAACAAATATAATCTCACCATCTGTTGTGCCTCATACAATTTAAAATTATTTTACAATTTAATTTAAACATAACAGCGGCAAAGGGTACGGTGATTAAATCGAAATTCAAAAGCTAGAATGTAACTGCAAGATTTTAATTTTTTAGGCAGTTTATATTTACATTACAGTAGATTTTAGAGTTAATACTCTTTATACTCCACCACATTTATTTGAGTATAAGTTACTTATTCCACCACGGTAAAATGAACAGTGAAAAAATATTAAATATGCAAAACAACTATTTTCCAGGGCAAGGCAAAAATAAACAAATCACAATTTTTGAAATCTTTTTTGTTTTTTAAATCAGTCATCTGCACATCGGTTCATAATTGCAACTTCATACTGTGAGAAAAACATTTCTAAAATAAAATATAGAAAAATGATGTCCTGTCTTTATTTTAGAGCTGAAATGTTTTATACTTTAGTGAGGATGCTGCTCTGAAGTCAGTTTCTGAGCAGGCCTGTTGCTCCTCCTGTGTCTACTGTAGAGGGCATCATCCACCCTCTGTGAGACTCCATATCTCAGCCGGCTCTCATCACCGCCCCGCCCTCTGCCCTGATTACCCATCAGTCTCCGAAAGAGCGTTATTTGGGTGCCACATCACACAGCAGCATGTGTATTTGCCAGTCTATGTTCCTTTCCCGTTGCTCCCTAACAGGCTTTAATTGCAAAGAGTCTTTAAGAAAAGGGCTTTGATAATCCGGGCCTGTTTCAAAATAAAAGGGACTATAGGAGGCACAGCTGTGAGGTTATTTGGGTTCTGTCAGGGCTTCTGCAGCTTGTTTTTACAGTATGCTTTAAAAGTTGGATTCAGTCTTATAGATTTTTATAATAAGGTTTCTGTGTTGAGAGTAAAAAGCCCAAAGCCTGAGGACTGTAACTTGAAATAACTTGACTTCTTGTGTTACATAAGAATGTATGTACCTATGTGTGCACATGCATTCCCCGTTATTCCTTTTGTCCAAATCGAAAATGTCACACACCAATAACTAATTGAGGCAGAATAAAACGGCGGATTTGTCTCAGTTGAAATGTATGCATGCAAGTGTGTGTGTGTGTGTGTGTGTGTGTGTGTGTGTGTGTGTGTGTGTGTGTGTGTGTGTGTGTGTGTGAGGATGTGGGAGGGATATATAAAGTCTGAAAGCATTGACATGCATCTGGCACCTCGTCATGTGGACGGGGAATGGGGAAGAAAAAAAAAAGAGTGATTGAGTTACACTTCCCCTTCGTGTGCCCCAAACACCAGAAATATGGTTCACATTGTCCTACATACTCAAAGATCAACTCACAATTCATGGATGGATAAATGTGAATAGTAGTAATTAAATCTGTAATAGTGATAAACATGGCCTTGCAGGAACCGTGGAGCCAGTTATTCCAACAGAGTTAAGTTTCAGCTCAGATAATATAATATATTCACCGCTGAATACATCTGGGGTAATGTGGAAAACATCCTTAATGTTGTAGAGGAGTTTCATTTAGGAAATGTTCGGCATGAAATAATAAGCTCAGAGTCAATTTCATGCCATCAATTTAATCAGCACAATTATTGATGTGTTTTATGTTATTTTGACTGAAATTTGAACTGGAATTTCATTTTGGAACTTTTTTTTTATCCTTCACAGACAAATGAAGGTACATTTTATGAATGGCAGATCAGATTTCTATCAAGATAATAAAGTTAGGCTAATTTTAGGCCGACTAATCAGTCTTTAATGTGGATTTTCTACACCCTGTTATTGTCCCATCATTAAAGCAGCAGGAAGAGCCTATTGATTTTCCCAGCCAGATCTGAAAACCCTAACACCCCCCCCCCTTTTTTTAACCCCAGTGTAGCCGTGACTTTAACCCTGACAAGCTCAGCTCATCAAAGAGTGTTTGTCCCATCTGACTCCGCTTTGCCTCTCTGCTGTGCGTCCAGCATCTGTCTTCCAGCTCCTTACAGGATACGGCCTGCCTTCATACACTGAGGCCTGCTGCCCGGCTCTCTGTCATTCAGAGGTAGGACGACCTCAGAGTTTGAAGTATGTCGTTTGAAGTCGCAAAGATGTTAGGAAGACACAAGAGAAGGCGTTAATGTGCCAGGATACGCTGTTCGATAAAAAAGAAATACCACTTCCCCGCTTCATGGTCCAAGATTTAGCCCAGCCAAAAATCTACTTCTAATTAAATGTGATTGCTGTATCCTTCATGTATTATTGGACTTATAGGATATTGGACCCATCCCGCGCAGTATTAACACATTTCATATTATGTAGTAAATGAATCTAGCATAAAGCGGTTCATTCAATGCGGCTGCTCCTCGCCTGGCGCACAGCTGGATCGTCTCTCTCAGCTCTGGTATTATTCATCTACTGTGTTACTCTGGCTCCGAGTCATTGCACAGTAGGAGAAGTCACTAACAGTGAAGAACCACAGTGTACCACATTGAGCAGGATGTGTGTTTTATGATTTATGGTAATATTGTATTTCTGCCGCTCAGTTTCAATGATTTGTTTTCAATAAAAATCAAACTCAGCTGACGCTCCCTGGCTAATTTTCCTGTTGTGATATCAAGCGTGTTATAAAAAGTTTCTGTTCCAGTTCCCACTTGGAATGACAAAGACATTGTGGGAACCGCTAATATGAACGCACACGCTGGCTTCAAAGTTGTCAGCAAACTAACCATGCAGAATCTCTGTTCTCTTCCCTTGTCTTTTTTTTTTAAAACAACTGTGCATCTGTCAACGTCTTAACATCTCTCTTCCTGTTTGACATACACAGATTTACAAGCAAACACACATTTAGAGGCCAATCTATCCTTACTATTAACACCTCATTATAGAAAAGATGACAGAGCAGTGTTGATGCAAAAAATGTACATCAATATAGTCCAGTGCAAAAGCAGGGCACACCCAAGTCTTCATACACATACATTCACTTTTGGATTTGACAATGACTATATATTTGACGCTATTATAAAATGCGACACTCTCTTCATCTCCTCTTCACATTGTATGCTCTCGCCATTTGAGAGGAAAAGTACAGCCACTTAAGACTCAGGATAAGGGCTCCATTTCACAGTGGTGCATTTTTCAAGACACTTAATTATAGCTTTCTAGAAGAGGGCAGTGACGAGGCCCAGGCTTTTTCGGCTCTAACGGGATGTTTCCATGTTTGGCAGGCCACCAGCCGACGGGCTTTGCCAGCTAACCAATCAGGGAGCCCACCAGGCTCGGCAGCAGGGCAGCCAAAGATCCAGTCTACTAGCCAATCAACCCAACCAACTGGGGGAGCGGCCACATAACTAGCTTGCCGGTCACTGTAGTTAGACTTGGACTGGTAGACGTCCAACCAAGATGACGATGGGCAGAAACTTTACTCCTCCTGACCTCATCGACACAACCTGACCTACACACATCCCTGCACTGATCCCAGATCGCAGCTAAGCCCTTAATGACTGTTTGTCAACGAGCCCATGACATCACAGTGAACTGTTAGGAGGAGGATGGCACGTTCTGCGGTGTGTGTGCATGTTCCCAAGCCACCATTTTTAACGAGTGAA